AATTAAAAAATTTTAAATGACTGTAATATTATTATTATTTTTTATGTCTATTAGCCTAAAGTAATATTTTTTGAGTCTGTCAGTATTATAACATTTAGATATCTTCCATTTTCATAAGTGTTTACTTTATTTCATTACAAATATCTGTGTATATATACAACATGGAATGTTTCTCATCCAGGTGTTTTTACTCCCATTGGAATTGAGTTGCGTCCCTGGATGGCATCAGCTGCTATGGCTGCATCTTCAGTTTCTGTTGTAGCAGCATCTTTGCTACTTAAAACGTAAGTTGACATGGATTACACCTTCCTTAAAGTATCTCACCATCATTGTATCATTTAATTTAAAAGATTGGTCAAGACAAACACTAACATCAAGTTTCTCCAGAGAGAGATGCTTTTCTTCATGTAGAAAACTGGTTGTTTGTATCTTCTCTCATTTATAAATTTAGAATTAGAGGCTCTGTGGGCACCTTTTTTTCCAGATAGCCGCACTATGAATTATGAAATACCACTTATAAATAAATGATGAAATATTACTACTAAATAAATGATGAAATACCACTACTAAATAAATGATGAAATACCACTACTAAATAAATGATGAAATACCACTACTAAATAAATGATGAAATACCACTACTAAATAAATGATGAAACACCACTACTAAATAAATGATGAAATACTACTACTAAATAAATGATGAAATACCACTACTAAATAAATGATGAAATACTACTACTAAATAAATGATGAAATACTACTACTAAATAAATGATGAAATACCACTACTAAATAAATGATGAAATACTACTACTAAATAAATGATGAAATACCACTACTAAATAAATGATGAAATATTACTACTAAATAAATGATGAAATACCACTACTAAATAAATGAAGAAATACAAACACTAAATAAATTATGACAAACTCCTACTAAATAAATTATTAAATGAAGAAATAAACTTTTATAAGCTGTGTAATAAAATATTAACAAAAATTTCAAGTGAAATTCTATGTTCCTTTTCATTAGCAAGCTCATTTGTCGGTTAATAGCTCGTGGGAAAAAAAAGTAATTTTTAATTGTATATACAATAGTTCCTTTTTTTAAAAATGATTTTGCAAAAAACAAAATTAGCCACATTAGAGAGGTCCATTTGCCACTTGTGTTTGTGGTCAATAGGATCCCTTATTTAGCTGAAATGGCCGCTTTTCTTGCCTTTTATTTTCAAGCCTAAACATATCTTGTTCCACTATTTATGTACTTTACATGGCTTGAACGCAGACCCTCATATATTATTCCTTAATTATTATATTAAGCATGGATTTGAGAAATTTATTAGAATACTAGACTATTAAACTTAAGTTGTTGTTATTTTTTTCTGCTGACACTGTATTTAACCTTTTTTTTCTAATGCCATAACTTTAAAATGATGCTCGTTTCTTGTGACAGTTAAAAATGCGGGAAAAAAATAAATATTATGAATCTACTTATAGGCTCATTTAATATGTAGCATAATTTTTTATCAACGGTACCCTATCCCCCAGGTTCCGTAAGCCTAAAAAAGAGGACCTGCTCACACCAGAGTATTACAAAAAATACTACCAGGACCAAGACTTGGATGAGATATCCATGCACAGGGGAGACGACTGGGAAAACCCAACTCGACAGCCCAGACAAAACAGCAATAGTTCCAAGAGAAGCTGGCGCAAAGCCAACAATCCTCCAACTCCAGACCAGAAGAGTTTACTTGAACACGATGATGTAGACATAGAAATGAGTCCTATCACATAAATAAAAATAGCCATAAGTATTCTGAGGCCAGTGGGGAAATAATGATTTGCAGCAAAAATTCAAACCACAAAAAATGTTTTCACTGACAAAATGTTGGAACATCATGTAAATTCTTAAAAACTCAAAACCTTTTTTTTTTAAACAAAAATTTAAACCTATGAATCAACCCACTTATAACATCAACCATTGAAATCAGTTGGATTATGTTATAGTTTACAATTCCAATTACCTTTACCTTATTCTTAGCAGTTAAAATAAAGGAAAAAAATGATATCTAAATTTAGGAATCCTTTTCATGACAAATTAGTGTGGTGGAACACACCTGTTAATAATTAATCAATTTAAATAATTTGAATTACATGTTTGTATTGCCTACACTAGTTTTATTAACTAACAAGTGCGTGTTTCTCATTCAATCCTATGGTTAAAAAAAAAACAACAAGACCAATAATTCTTTAACCACTTGCCATCAAACAAAATTCAGTCCAACAACTTCACTAATCTATGAAAACTTAATTTGTGAAATAATAATTCATTTTCTTCACTTACCAGTTAAGTGGAAAATGTGCTGCTCTAGATAATGAGCAAATGTCAAAATTGATGTTGAAATCCAAATATGAAAAGAAATTTATATTTTTCATAGAATAAATTTTTTTAAAATTTAAATGGTGCTTTGTTGGAGCAAATGTTAGTGACAGGAGGAGTGATTGATAATGGGGTGACTGCATCAGTGTATGTAGAATTTTTTTTTTGAGAATGGAGAAAATGTGCTGACTTTTATTTAAAACATTATGAAATAATAAAATGTATGGAAGTAGAAAAAGAATAGAATGGTGTTGAACTAAAAAAAAATTGAGATTAAAATTAAGATATTTTACCTTTGTTTGTGATGAAATACTACCTATGAGATATTTATTATTCAATATAATAAATTTACTTCACTCAACTCACTGCAATGATAGATAAACTTTAGATGACGCTAAAGGAAGGATTCTTTTTTAAATGCTGGCCTTTCATTTCTGCACCTAATGGTTTTGTATATTAGATCAAATTCTTTTTTTTTTTTAAATATAATTATTTTTGGATAAGTTGATAAGGGTATCCACATAACTGTTTGAGTGGAAGACAATTTATAAAGGGTTAACACCATTCAAGATATTTTGTATGTAGATTTTTTTCAATCTTTGGTACTGATGTTCCTTGTGTATGAATAACTGCTGAATGCTCCATTTGACCAAATAATAACTTTTCCTAAATATTCTCCAACAATGATTTGTTTGTTGCACATGTCTTTCATATTAAATCCACTAAGCCAGTTGTGGGGGAAAAAAAAATTAAAATCTTTCTTTAAAATAAAATAAATTTATTTTGAGATTTGTAAAAATATTTTTAAAATACACATTTTATTTCCATGTACGTATATGCATTTTAAAATATGTTTACATCAATTATAGTTTAAAAAAACACAATTAAAATGCAGTCATTTCAATGCCACCTGTCTTTATATTGTTTTGATTTTAATAATAATCCTATATCAAACCAGAATTAACTGGCATGTTTGTTGTTATTTTATTTTCACTCTTAAAGCATCTTGGAAGAGAAATGATTAGCTACTTTCTGCAAAAATTATTACCTTATTTAATAATAGTTTGAGGTTTTTTTTTTTTTGTTTTTTTTTAGTTTAGTTGACTTTTTGAAATGTAATTTTCAATTTGTTTTTAATTTGAAAAATTGACTCATTTCAATTGTGACAGTAGGTTTAATGTTTGAATTATTGTTTATATATGTAACTTAAAGCATCTTGGAAGAGAAATGATTAGCTACTTTCTGCAAAAATTATTACCTTATTTAATAATAGTTTGAGGTTTTTTTTTTTTGTTTTTTTTTAGTTTAGTTGACTTTTTGAAATGTAATTTTCAATTTGTTTGTAATTTGAAAAATTGACTCATTTCAAATGTGACAGTAGGTTTAATGTTCGAATTATAGATTATATATGTAATAGATATATATATATATATATATATATATATAGTAGATTATTAAAAAATATCTTCTTTTTTTTAAAGAACTTTCCCGCTTTTATATTTTACAGAACTGGCATATGTCTTAATCAATTATTGAAATAAGTTTACAGACTACAATGTTTTAATTAATTATTGAAATAAGTTTACAGACTACAATGTATAATAAAGTTTTTTTACTTCTACTAACTAAATATCCTTTAATTATTTGTTTAAATACAGTTAAATTGAATGTATTATAATAGACAAACATTCCTTTTGTAGGTACTAAGAAATACAATTAATTCAATTAATGCATTTTATTAACTGTGAATATGCACTACATCTAAATTGTTTTGTCATGATATTTTTTGAATGTAATTAATGTAAAGTCTGTAACATGTTTTTTGTTTACAGCAGCACTGTCAAATCTTTTTGGAAGAAATTGTAAAAAAGCTATCATGCACCAGACATAATAATATTATTTTAAAAAACTGTGTTCATTAAAAATTTTAGTTTTGTGAATTTTTAAGTCATTATATTTTATAATTAATAATTAAAATAAAGTAATTAAGTTATATCATGTGCTTAGAGACTGACAGTAGTAACTAACTATCTTAAGAAAAACAGCAAACTATCAAGCCAGCGCTCATTAAGTCTTCCCTGACATACCTCTCCTTCCCCACAACCCAACCAGCGTTCGAATTCTAGTTTGACCGCGGAGCAGCACGTCAGGGGTATTCCGCTGCTGAAACAACCCGACCCACCTTCCACTCGATGACCATGCGAGTGTGGCGGCTAGGAACACCTTGTCGGCTGGTGGTGCTGCTTTTGCAGCACCTGCTGTCGAACTTTCAAGGGACTGGGATGAAAATATTTTAACATCCTTAAAGACAACCCTTCCCATCCCAGGGTGGCTTTAGATGCTCTCTAATATGGATTTCTGCATGTAGCTTCCACTTTGTGCTTAAATCACACCGTAGCTAGGACAAAACGGTTGCCTAAGTCCCCTCACAGGCTGTATGATAGTAGAAATATAACATGATTTAGGGTCAAAACAATTTTTATTTAAACACTGCAGCTTATATTCCAGCTAAATGTGAATTTTTACGATTTTTTTTTTAAAGAAAAGATCAAATTCACCTTTGTCTTGCTTTATATCCTTTGAATATGAGAAAAGTTTTCTGACCCTATGGGTTGCAGATTATCTTGCCAAGTGTGGAATTGTGTATAATACTATAAAATAAGAATAGCATCAAGAATTGAAAAATGTACCACCATCATGATTTATAATTTTAATTATTGTGTAAATAAAATATGTATAAAGTACTTTTGTTTTCATTAAAATATTTGACAACAATAAAAAGTTGTTTTTTATTTTTATTTTGCATATACTTCTGTTTCAAAATCAATGTCTTCTAGCTCTTTTAAAGTATAGTTTCCAAAAACCTGACAACACAAGTTGTCCAAATTAAGTTACATCTTTTGATTACTTCCTGGCTAACCATTTATAATTTTTACAGATAGATATATTTTTTTTTTATTAAACTTAAACACAAGCCTTTTTCCATGTACAAGATGATTTTCATTCCAAATGGGATCTCACTTTAAAACGTGTTCCATATAAACACTATGATTAGGAGTAAAATATCATCAGAGTCATTTCATATTAAATATATTTAACCCCAAAATTGTTTATATTCTTTTGTGACCTTACTGCATTGCAGGCAATAAAAAATACAAATGTTCCTTTCAAGCTTTCCTGGTCAGAATTTCTTGCCTGAATTAAAATGTCCAAGCTGTGCTTGAAAAGCTTGAAAAGATACCAGAAAAGTGGACACTACTGCCTTGTCAAAAGACAGAGCAACACAAATTGTGAAGATTGATGCTCTACAGTTTATAGCTGACAGGTAGTAAACACAATTATTTCTGTGACCAAATACCACTGTCATTGATTTTTTTACACTAATTGTAGAAAATGTAACTTTTCACATTTTAAAATCGCCTAAAAATCTCAACACTATTCATCCCCAATTTTATGCCTGACATTTCTAGCACCTGCTGCAATTTTTCTCTTTTTGAATGCAACAACTTCTCCAGTATTTGAGGCCAGGGATGAGACAGTTTTTTCTTTAAATCTTGGCTTTTTGGGGGCAGTATTTGCTTCGTCAGTGGCATGCTGTGGTAGAGGAATGTCATCCAATGAAGGAGGTGCACTGGTCTCATCATAAACATGTGGCTGCCTGAAGATGACAAACATAGTTGATTTTATTTTATTTTTTTAATATTAAAAAAAATCATTACTGTTGCCTTACTCTGTGGAAAAAATAGAACTTTATAGGATGTGTAGATAAAATGGAGGCATGATATATTCATATATATGCATCTTTAAATCAATAAATTGAAATGGTACAATAATGGATATTTTGATGATGTATGAAGATATGTTTAAATGAAGGGTGCTGAAATATTTCCAAGGATGTAACTATTTTCTTTATAAAAATTTCGCCATCTGATGATATTTCTCTGACTAGTCTCATCACTTTCATAACAAAACTCTAGTTCACTCCTGTTCAAATGAAAATATAAAGCAATTTCAAGGAATATGTACTTTTTTCCTATTTTTTAAAGTTAATTTTAGAAATATTTGTACTTTAAGCTTTACTTTACTCACTCAGCTTCTTTAACAACACTCCATGACCCATACGCAGACCGGCTGTGGCTAGGATCAACTCTTGTAGTTAATGTAATGTCTTCCTTTGATTCTGGGACCTTATGGAGAAAAAAAAGTCATAATGTTTTAGTTTCTAATTAGTAAATATAATTAATTAAATGTATCAGATTATGAAAACAAATGAAAGATGAAATTGTTTGTTTTTTTAATTGGTTAGAAGTTTACTCATCTAGAGCACAATAAAATAAAACATTACACACATTATCTTAAAAATTTAGCAAAACTTTTCTTTGAAAAAAACTGTCTTAATGAGCATGAGAATCATAATGCTCTTCAACTCCTATTGTTACAAAAAAAATCCCTAATCCACTTACGGGTTCACTATCCTTGATGGTGTCATGTCTATCCTTGATGGTGTCATGTAAGTCAGAAGATTCCTCTTTAGAACTTGTTTTGAGTGCTTCTTGCTCGGCTAATGACAAGTAATCATCTGGAGGCTCCCATATTGATTCTGATCACAAAAAGTTTCTGTTAGGAATATTTGCTTCATAGTAAGGAATAAGGATGTCCTCTGTGAGTTTTTAATTTTTTTTAATCTTTATAATTTTAAACATATACCCACACAGTTAAATACCAGCCATCTATTTTACTCCAAAGAAATTTTAATTTATACCATCGATAACAAATACTAATTTATGCCTCTATCATTATTTACCATGACATTTAGTAAACAGCAGAAGTATATTGGTGGTCGATGTCAAAGATTGAAGAATATATATACTTATTCACTGGTATATGAGTTGCAGGTTAAAAATATTATCTTAAATGAATACCTCCTGTCGCGGTATTCCAGTAATAATGATGACCCTCTGGTGATACAGCTTCGAACCATTCTTTCACAGTGACTTCTTTTTGTCCCTTTTCGTTATTTTTTTCCTCCTCAAAAGTTTTACCTGGAAAATCATATATAAATTTTAATTTGTAAACACTAATTTCACTTAATAAAAAAATATGCATTCTTTTTGTCTTTGCATTTATAAAAATCATTCATCTTACTGCTAGAGTGAGGTTTTGGCTCTAATGAAATGCCATACTTTGCAGCAAGCTCAGGATTTTCTTTCAAATCTTTCTTGAATGCTTCCAATGCTGCCTGTAGAAGACCATCAAAAAAATGGGAAGACATAAGACTAAGAGATCTATGTTAAGATAAATGCAAGATCTATGAGAAGATAAATAGAGTTAACTAATATAAAATCAAAATAAATCTACAATTTTATATCTCATTAAAAAATAATCGAGAGCAATAATTTGTTTAATATACTTAATCTATTGTTAGAATATCTTACCCCAGGAAGGGTATAAGGCTCATAAGTTTTTATTGTTTACCTTTTCCATTTTTTCCATATCTTTCTTCATCTGATCTTCTGTCATCGAGTTCTGGAGACTTTTTTTACGAACCTTTGGTACAATATGATACTATTATTGACCTTAAAAGTAATTAATGAGAATGAAAGCTATATTTTAGTTCACCTTTTGGTTTTCTATTTGTATGTCATTGCTGTCACTTCCTTTTTGTACCCAGTTTAAAAAATCAGGATTTCAAATGCTTTAATTGAAGTTTAATTTATGAAGACTTCATTTAAATATAATACATTTTGGTTTAATTTTTTAAATTAAAATTTTGATCAATCCTTTATAAAATTAGATTAAATTAAGTTATTGATGAAATAGCACCTCCACTAAACCTAAATGGAAATTAAAAAACAGGTTTCACTTTAAACAAAAATGTTTTATTATTCAGGGAAGTGACTTTGATTAAATGTTAGAATGAAATTATTATGAATTTATTCTTGCTTTATGTTAGCAGTGGAAAAAGGGGTATTTCATTTTTTAAATATGAGTTATAGTGATCCAGAAGATTAATTTTCCATTTTAAAATAGTAGCCCTACCTCCTTGAGCCTGAGCTCCACATTTTCTTGATGTCGTTTTCCTCTTTCATGAAATTCAACACTCTAAAATGAAATAAGTTATTAAATTTATTATTATTTTTTTTTTTGTATTTTCAAAACAACAAAATGCATTTATTATTTTCCTTGAACTATGCAAAGAGGTTGGGGAAAATATTCTAAAGAATTCTTAGACATAATTCTTCTTAATAATCTAATTTTAGTTCTGATTAAAGAAATAAATAGTTTAGTTTATTCAAAAACATACATTTATGTTTATGCCATAATTATAATTGGGTGGCTGAGGGGTCAAAACTGAGCAAATCTCAAGTTGATGGTCTGGAGTTCAAAGCCCAGTCAAGCAAAAACATCACCAGCACCCCGGTTAACCTTGGATGGCAACTCATCTAAGAGAACGAAACTCTGAATTCAAACCCGGAGATGGAGTCCCGTAGGGGGATAACATTGGAACAATGAATCAATCCATCAACTCCTGCGACGCTACAGGTGCCATGCTATATCATCCACATGATGTTCCCTTGGTTTTATCCAGCGGAGTGGAGAGGGGAACCAGCTTTAATTCCTAGAAGAATAATCCCATTCCAGAATTCGTTCTGTGAAGTTCACACCATCGTCACATTGTGACGGATGGATGCCAGCAATTTCACTTTATAAAAATTATTAATTTTAAAAAATTTACATTTTAATCAGACATTCAATAAATTGAAGAACGTTTCTTAAAATAAACAGTTGATTTTAGAAGGAAGTTTTTGGACTTACCGGTTTATTATCAGTGATCCAACATTTGCAAAAGTCACAAAACTTTCTTGGAACCGATTTCCAGTATTCAGACCTGTCCATGATAAAGAAGCAAAGATTAATTTACAAAATTAAATTGCATACTTTCATTTATTAATTGAATTAGCATTTTAAATTAAGTAGGCTTACAATCCTCATTCCATTAGAAGACTTTTAAAAGCTTCATCTTTAGATCTCAAAGCAAATTGTTTTAACCTTCTTTTGGGCAACCTGACTAGAATCATGGAACTTAACACATTTATGGTGAATTATATAGAGTAAGGGGCCACCCATAAATGTCTTCACGCTATTTTGGCAGACATTGGACATCATTACTGTCACATAATTGTCAAAAATTTAGTTACCCTCACAATGAAATTTGTTAAACAGATTTGAAAGCAATTTATTTTAAAATAGCAGCTATGTGTACCCAGGTCCCTTTAAATCCTATTCGGATGTCATTTATGGAAGTTTATTTTAGTTAAACTGAAGAAGTAAGTTTACAAAAATATGGTCCAGTCAATTATCTTCTTCTTTTTCTTTATTTTGAGGGCCCAGGACCAATGAATTGATCATTCTGGCTCCATTGTTTGAGAGGGGTTCGCGATGTTACTGTGCATGGTTTTCAAGGGGATATTTCACTGGTTGCAATGGCTGCTCAGCAGTGGTGTTATGAACTGGGGGTTGAAAGACAGGAGCCAATAGACACAAATGTGTCAAGTGTAGCCGCCTCAACTGTTGCTTTTGGAAGCTTGTTCCAGTCCCTAATTGTCTTTGGCAGGAATGAGGAGCTCCTGTACTGACTTCTTGTTTTTATCATCTTTCATTTGATACCAAATTTTTAATAACTTTATAAACCAAACCTCTCACTTCCCATACCTGGGTCCGAATAGCCACAGCCATTACTCATTAGGGCCCCGTGCACATATTATATGACACAAACATATGACATTTTTTATTTTTTACCCAGCCCTACCCCATATGACATAAGTATTAAATAACATTTCCATTGACCCCCATCCCTCTAATATATAAATCTCTAGCCTCTCCCACCCCTCCAAACAAGTGATAGAAAAGTCCATAGCCAAAACAAGCAAATTTCAGGCAAATCAAAAAGATAAAAATCTATTTTTTGTAAGTAAGAAATAAATTTTAGTTTTTAATAATCAAGGCTAATTATTAAATAATTTTGCAAAAAATAAGAATATAAAAATTTTACAAAAAAAATAATGAATTTGAATTGTTAATATAAATTAAATTTATAATTTATATTATATTAAATTGCTTGCTCAGTTATTGATTGCTCTAAACTAGACCACCCCCATCCCATGCCATATATATATACATATAACAAAAATAAACCACCCCCTACTAAGTATTAGGGCCCCTATAAGTTATATTAAAGAGTTATACTTTAACTTTAAAAAAGGGTAAAAAAAAACAATGATAATGACTGATAAGATTATTTACAATACTCAATACAGTTAATATTGTCAACTGCACTTTTACCATTATATTAATATGGCAGTGACGATTATTAATTACATTACAAATTATTCAATTACATACTTTAACTTAGCTACCAATAAAATTACAACAAAGAGCAAACTGCAAAGTGTAAGTGTAAAAGTAAAGTACCACTACTAGTAGACTAGACTACTAACTAGGAAAAGAGTACTTTAAATGACTACTGAAGGCTGAAGTTAAAGACAAAGCTGAATATCAAAACACTAATGAAATCTTATGGAAGGGTTTGTTGTTATTTTAAATAAAAATGTATTTATTGTACAAATGGAGAGATAAATTTATTAAGAAAGAAAAACCTTACATCGTGCTGTTGACAATGATTGTGATAACTTTACGTCTCTCCGTTAACTCGAAGTCTCCAATCCGACCAAAAACCTTGAAATTTGTTTAATGCAAATAATGTATTTCTGAAACAGAAGAGCTGGAAGTACAAGAAATCCTGAAGCAATAAATTATTACTAAATATTCATTGGTTGAGATGGGGAAAGCCTTCGCCATAATCTCAACATTATCCAATCAGTATTAGTGTCTTTGAAAGGCCAATGTCAGAACGCATGCGCAATAATTTGATGCCTGTGTTGTCTCGCTGCAGAAGTTTATGTGCAACAGTCCATTGTTGTTATTGTTTGAAAGACCATTTCTAATTCCGTTTATTATGATGAAAAAATAATGGCAAGTTAACTCTTTTCAAAAAATAATGTAACATATTTTTATTGTTTAATTATATATTCACTAAAGGTATGCTAACGATGCAGAGGTAAATATCTTATCAGGTTTACCTTTTAAAAGCTGATGAACGGCTGAATTTGTTAATAACACTGAGACTTTTTTTTTTGGTCACTCAATGTTTGTATTAGTACTAGTAATAGTACTAGTAATATCCTAGCTGTGACTAGCTAGAAGTAGTAGGCTTGTTCAGAGTCTTGTTCAGTATAGAGTGTATTATGAGTCAAATAGTGTGGCGTATCCAACTTTGTTGGTGTACTCATTGAAACTGAGAGCTTCTCAGTTCTCTCTAGTCTTAGTCTTATTGTCTTAAAACTTAAATAATTTTAAATGTATTAGTATTAATTTTACAGTAGGCTACAGTTGCTTTTTGGAAGGTTTTGCTTGTTCACCAAGTTCATGATGGTCATATAGCTATAGTTATTTAAGTTATTTACCAGAAAGTACCTCAGTCTGTGTCCTCAGTGAACAGAGCATGAAATTTAGAAAAATGAAGTCATTGAAGTTGAAGTCACTTAGTCAGGAAGAATACAAATTACATCTGTTTTTTTTTTCAAGTGAACATTGCCTGACGTTTTTTATTTTGAATTACATCTTGGGAGAGCTGTTACTAGTGTTACTTTTATTTCAAATTCAATTAATAATTGCTTAGACATGATGATGAGGCCTAGGCCAAGTTCTGTTAATTGATATATAATATTAATATATATATTTCAAGTCTAGGAGGACTAAATAGGATAGAGTTAAGCCCATGCCATAACAAAAATATCCAATTCCCTAACTTCACTCCTGACTCCTGTCATGTTTTTCCCTATTTCAAACAATTAAAATGCCATCATTATTATTTGTTATGTAACAATTGTATCTGCTTTCATTGACTTCTACTTAACTTTACATGCTATATTAATTTAATGTGATGACTGGCTGCAATGGATTCCAATGGAAAATAATTCTGAACACTGGCCCCAGCATATGCTTATTTTATTTCTTAACTAAACCACAAAGCTACTGCCAGGACTATTGATCATGTCCTGTTATAAAATATGAATAAGCCTAATAATGTATAGTTTGTATAATTATAACTATATAAATTATTGAATGACTACAATGGATTCTAATGGAAAATAATTCTAAACATTATCCCCAGCATATTATATGTCTATTTTATTCTCTTAACTAAACCACAAAGCTACTACGAGGACTGTTAATCGTGTCTTGTTCACTGTTATAAAATATGAATAAGCCAGCCTAACAATGTATAGCTTTTCTAATTATAACTATATAAATTACTATATTATTAGTGACTAAAGTGTAGACCTCTATAATTAAAAAAAAACAATGTAGATAATGTTTTTTTTTTAAATTTAAATGTGCATTGTGCAGGGTTTAATGGAAGCTTTATATAGACCATCTGATGATGGACAGTGCTGGCCAGTATTTACTTCGCAAATGATTATATGACAATATGTTATTATTTGAATGACAGTAATATGAGTACTTAAATAAGTATTAAGCTTATAACCTCCTCCTCCTAATCAGATATAACTTTTAAGTTAAAAGATCCTCCATGGCCTAATAAGACTTTTCCAGAGTGGCTTTTTCCAGCTCATGATTAAAGTAAAATTATATTTGATCAAGTGAATTCAAGTACAAACTGAAAGTTGAAAGAGTCTTGTCTACAGAGTATTGCTAATAACAATCCACATAGAGTTATTAATTGGATATCAACATAATTTTGAAGCTGTGCCATTTTTCTTCATTATAATAATGTATTTATTTATTTCATCATCAGGATACTGGAGATGCAGGTATTTAATTTTCTATTCAAGAGATATCTAATAATTACATGCATAAACGCTAATGAATTTAAAATATCTTAGAAACATTTTATTTATAATATTATTTCCATGGTTTTTAGATTTTTAGAAACATGGGCAGGGGAACACAGCCACAACTTATCCAAAGACATGTTCTATTCTTAAGTTAGGAGATCTTCAGTGAGTTTGCAGAAGGATTGTTTATTATGACAACTTTATAATAATTATTTTAAAATAGCACAGACAATTTCTTAAAATTTTCAGACTGGAGTAACCTGAGTCTTGGAGACCGGGATGACTCTGTACTAAGTGCCTTTCAGAAACAAGATGAATCTTCTTTGGGTTCTGTGGATAACAGATCTGATCAGGTATGGTTTGTATGAATCAAATCAATAATTTTTTCATTGTTAATTAACAGCACGGTAATACTTCATTTAACACGCTTGGATATAGTATAAAGGAATCTTTGGTATGATTCTTATGATGTATCAAAGGAAGATGGATAGATATACATGTTAATAAATTTCAGAATAGAAATGAGGATTACTTTTGTTTCTATTTGGAATTTAATTATTAATATTTAAAATGTTTTACTCACAGGGAGAGGATGATTTTACTAGTACTTTAGGAATGTATGATGGTTACGACAGCTACAACGAAAGTGGAATTAGTAGTGACAATGAAGATATTGACGAGAATCTCTTGGATGATGAATTTCTTGATAATGACGAAGGGGTCTCTAAATATAGGTTCCTTAATAACAAAGATGGCATGGGTACTATTTTAATTTTATTAAATTAACATAAAGTACATTAACATATCTGGTATCTTAAATTTATTTTTTTTAAAAACCCTTCCTGATAAACAGTTACCTGTTTTACTTAAATATAATTACTCTCAATGTTATTATTTTTAAGCACAGGTAATGAGTAAATCTGACATTTAGAAATTTTGTAAACTTTTTAATTTTTAGTTGTGTTTTTACTTTTACAAACCCAATTGTGTATTAACAACTTCATTCATTCCTTCAGCCACTTGTGAACGTTGTGGATCAGTGGGTGTGAAGCATGCATTCTATTCCAAATCAAAACGTTTCTGCAGTCTTTCATGTTCAAGAAGTTTTGCAACCCACCAGCGAGAGGGGAAACCGCTGACTCCCAAACTAACCCTTCCTAATGCTGTTAAAAAGGTAGGCTAAAGTTATATTTTGTTTTTACTTGAATGCACTGAAATTAGTCAATAAATTATATTTTGTATACCATTGTCTCATATTCCTAGAAAACAATGTTAATAGAAAAGGTGACAGTGATTTAACAAGATTTTTCTAGCTTTTGTCATCTCAACATCCAAAAGAACCATAATTCTTGTTTTTGCTTTTGTTTTTCAACCTACTGTAAATTAAGGTTCTGAGTGTGAAAAAAAAAAAAGGAAGTTGTTATTGACTTAGCAGAAACTGATTTGAAATACTAACGTATAAAAAAATATATCCTGTGGTGTATGAAAAAATGTGTCTTTTGGAAAATTACTAATTTAAATGCTATTGGCTGGTCACAAAGGTTTCTAAATTGTTGTTCAAGGAAATATTGCAATTCACATTAATTTATTTTTTTTAAATTTTCCACAGGGAAAGCCAGGGTCAAAAAAAGTTAATTCTAAAAATCAATCAGGCTTATTAAAGTCTTCCTTGCGTGGAGGTGAATAATTTTATTATCATTTGTTGTACTAAAATATAGATATGCTTAACATACTTATGCCCTTGCAGATTCTTCAATCCATAACCAGTCATTAAAGCAAAGTTTATCTGTATAATGTCACATCACAATTTCAATTTATAAAACAATAAATATTTCATTTTAAAATAAATTGTTTAACTATTTCATTTGACATGAAATAATAGATTAATATAATGACATACAAGACATTTTTAGGTCCCTAATTTTCATTAGATAGCAAGCATTGATTGCTCTTGTAATTTGTTCTTTTTAAACTACAAAATTTTTCAAATGTTTTGTTCAAAGAAAGAATAAAAAAAGACTTGATAAAAAATATAATTTAAAATTGACCTAATAAAATAATACTTCTGTTTACATGCATCAGGTAAGTTGATTCTCATTTGAAACTAATTCCAGAAACTGGCAGAATATTTGATTGGGGTCCTTATTTGATGAGCACACAAGCAAATGCTGCTTCCGTTTCTTGCTTCAAACATGCAAGTTTATTTTAACTTGTTATTTTACCTCCAAATTAGTTAATATATATAAGTTATTGAGTTATTCAGAATTAATTAATTAAAAATAAAGATGTTATTTTTTAACTTGAGAGGTTTGTTTGGATTGTGTTAGCGTACAGATTATATGTTATAACTAAATGTATGTTGCGTTTTTTTTCTTGTGAGTGTTAGAAAGAATTGTTAAGAAGAGGAATTTAATTAATGAAAATAATTTGTCATAAATTAATTTTACATAAGGTACCAATGCATGATTGCTGGGAGCAAATGGTGGATGGGGTTCTCGTTGAAGTGCCTAACACAGACCTTGATATTGGCAAAGACATCAAAGTTTACTGGATTGCCACTGTTTTAAAAATCTGTGGTAAACTATATTTGTCTATAAATAAGCTTTGCAATATTTTTACTATGATTAACTTAAAATCATTCCTCTTGTTTCATAATTAGAGAAGTATTTTAGGCTCAAATTATTATAATTTGATTTATCTTTTGTTTTTTCTTCCTTTTATCTTTTAATATTTATAAGGTTACAAAGTCCTATTGCGCTATGAAGGATTTGGGGGTGATGGTTCCAAAGACTTTTGGGGTAATTTATTGTCAGAAGACATGCATAATGTGGGATGGTGTGCAACATATGGGAAAATGTTAGCTCCTCCTAAAAGTAAGTAGTCTTCAGTTTTTTGTTTCATGGTAGTTTGAAATATGTTTTCATTTAAAAGATGTATAATTAAGAAAATTTATCTTAAAAGACAAGAGAATATAGTGTTATTATAGTTGCAGTTTCTCTGTCATACTAACAAATTAAAAATGTTAAATTCTCACAATATTTGAAGTTTCCACATCTGGTTCTTTCAGGTATTAAATATTGAACAAAATAATAATTGATTATAGTCAAATTGTCTGTCTTGCTTACAGAAAATCTTGGAAACAAAAGCAGAGTAAAAAATGTATCTTGTTCCTAAAGCATAATCAGATAGATACTGCTTTCTTGTAAATGTATGTATATTTTACAACTATCTCTACAGCAATTAAAGAGAAATATGCCGATTGGAAGGAGTTTTTAATAAAAAGATTAACTGGAACTCGCACAATTCCTCCACATTTTCATTCAAAGGTATAGATTAGTTTTAAACTGGTTGTTTTTATTTCGTTATTTTTTTGTTTAAAATTTTTATCATGCTTTGAGTTTAAGGAAAATATTTTCATTACCCAAATTAGGGACCTACTAAATATAATATTTTTTATGGGTAATAAAAGATCAAACAGTTTTGTTGCAAGTCCTCTTACCTATTTCTAATGGATAGCATGCTATTTTTATCCACAGGCCCAGGAATGGTTGCAGGATCATAAGCTAAAATTTGGGATGCAACTAGAAGTTGTTAATAAAATGTGTGTGTCTGCTATGAGATTAGCTGCAATTAAAGACATAATTGGTTGTAGACTGAGGCTCAATTATCTTGACAGCAAAGTAAGTTCTAATTGGTAAAAATAGTAAAAAAGTAATTATACATTATTATGTTTATTGTTTATGTTAATTATCATAAGTGTTATATCTTAGATCAACAAGCATTTTTTCAAGAGTTTGATTGGAGGAGAGCATGAAAAAGACCAAAAAACTATTTTAAAAGTTCATCAGTCATTTTCTAAAAATAAAATTCTTGTTTCTCAGGATGAAATTGATGAATTTTGGTGCCATATGACATCTCCACTGATTCACCCAGTGGGGTGGTCACAAACTGTTGGTCATAAACTCCATGCCTCTCATGGTAATTTATTTTAATAGTAGAGAATATTTATAAAAAATCATGTCTTTAAATATTGTTGGCAATAAACTGCACACAAATTTGAAATGTAGAGTTAAAAAGTATTATTTTATTTATGTAGAATATAAGAAGTCCTTAAAAATGGTCTATTATTGTATTGCCGTTTCTCTTCATCTATTAATATTATCTTTAATTATTTATAAATGTTTATAAGAAAAGTATTACGGTATTTTTTCATTATTTATTTTCTTTACTGTTTTGTTCATTATTTATTTTCTAACAGAATATATAAATTCTTGCTTGAGCAAAGTAACAATGCAAAAATATAGCCCTATTGATGCAACACCTGACATGTTCCCTAAGGTAATTTTTTTTTCTATTCTGTTAACATCAGTAGATTAATATGTTGCAGCATTGATAATTATTACCTATTTAGTCTTGCAAATGTTCCTGCGGTAGTAGGCTAGAAAACAGTAATTCCATTCAAAACAGTGTTGATGATGACGCATTTCCTCTTTACAAGCATGAATGCTGGGCGCTGGGTATTACCCCAACTTAGGGAAATGCTTTGTTATAAATTTGTTTTTTATTTTAAAGAAAACAACATTAATTTGGTAGTGCATGGCTCAAAGACAAGTATCTGCAAAATATGAAATTGTTATTTTATGTGGTTTTGAAAATTTAATTAGTTTTAAGATTTGACTCGTGTGTTGAACAATATGTAACAAAGGACTGAAAACCAGTATTCAAAGATAAAACATTACCAAAGCTAGTTATGCTAACAATATTCAATTTAATTGTACTATTACATTTATATAAAAATACAAAATCAAATATACAGAAATTATAACTGTATTAACTTTCAGCACAGCAAGTGAAAAATAAAATCCTAGACAGATACAAATATTAACATCCACACACAAAGAAAGAGTACAATTATCTCATAAATGTCCAGCAAAATTAGCAAAATCTCTCCTAGCTTGGAAAGCTGTCAGTTTATTTATAGGGAGTGAGTTGGAAGCCTCCAGAAAAGAAATTCTTGAAATTGAATCATCCGATGGCATTCTTTAGAATGTATTAAAAAATAAACAATCTGGTGAACACTTCAGCTCTATGTTGAAGTAAAATTAGGTGAAGAGACAGACTATAAACTTTACCAATAGAATTTCCTGATAAATTAAAACTTAGTTCAAGGCATTTATTATTATGAAATGTTGTTTTAAAGGATAAGTATGTTAACACATAACACTCCCCAATTATTTTTTTTTTGCTTCATTAAATTTGGAGGAAATAGGCTTCTAGGATAGATCAAGGGGAAATAATTTTATACCAATAACCATGCAACATTAATTACTGTATAAAACACTTTATTCTGCTCTTTCAGTGCAGAGATCCTCCTCATGGTCTTGCCTTTCAAGTTGGAATGAAGTTGGAAGCCATTGATCCCTTGAACTTGTCTGCAATATGTGTGGCAACAGTCATGAAGGTATGTTTTTTCACTTTTAAACTTTCACTACTTACTACTTTGGTACTAGTTTTCTGTGTTGCTCAGTGTCCTGGGTATATTAGTGCTAGAGCAATCATACCATTTCGTCTTGATACATGAAAATACAATTTTTTTAAACATTTAGAAGAAAAATTTAGGTATGCAGCATAAAAAAAATGTTATTTAATTTATGCTTGTATTTAAGGAGGTAGAAAGCTCTCTTGAAGATTTTACTTGGGAGTTCAAAGGCTTGATCAATTTATTGCAAATGATTTTTACTCTTTTCAAAGGTTCTTCGAAATAATTATTTGATGATCGGGATTGATGGATCAATGGCTGAAAATGGAAGTGACTGGTTCTGTTATCATGCTACCTCGCCATGTATTTTTCCTGTGGGTTTCTGTGAAATCAACAATTTGGAATTAACTCCTCCCAGAGGTAACCTTCATCTTTTTAAATTTATATAATTACACTCAGTTAGCCCTTGAACTTTTAAAACCCTGAGCTCCTGGACCTTAAATACCCATTCCCTTGGACTCCATTGAAACATTTATACAGTCAGACATGCAGACAAAACAAAATTCTATAATTATGAATTAAATGAGTTTATTCATTCAATCTAAATTTGTCTGCTACTAATCTATTATTATGAAATGGATGAAAATAATTGTCTAGGAATCCTTCTAGCATGGAGGAAAAGGAGGGGGGGGGGGGGGGGGGTGTATTGTGTTTAAGGATGACAGCTTTCAGGCCCCTGGATTAGGGAGGGACATTTTTGTTTCTTTTAAAACAAAAGCAAACAATTTACTGTACCATGGGGCAACAGGGTATACAAATTATTTTAAAATGTTATCACTTCTATAAGAATGATCCACACTTTTATATATTCCCCTTGTCTTTCTCCTATCTAATATATTATATATGGCCTGTGTGAAACGGAAAGGGTTTGTTTGTGTTTGTTATTTCTTTTACCTGTCATAATTTTACAGATTGTCTAACAGGTACAAAAGGACCATTTAAATGGTTTGACTACCTGAAACAAACAAGGTCTATGGCAGCTCCAGTCAAGTTGTTTGATAAGGTGAAATAATTTAAGCATCCTTACTAAATTCTAATTCTATGAAAATTAGACAAACAAGAAAGGACACCATCATACTATAACCTTCACATAGCCTTCTTTTTGTGTTATAGAGTTTTGTATTAAGAGTTACCTGGTAATATTATTAACAACTTTAAACCACCACCTTTCCACAAGAGTTTCACCAAGCACTAGTTTGTTAATGTCTTTGGAAAACATGGTTGCTTAGGTGTAGCTCTCCAATTGAAGTTGAAGGTATTGTTCATAAGCTTGCAGGGATGCACACAGTCCACACCTCACTTACACAAGGTGGCAGCAGTAACTGTAATCATGATTCCCCCAACTATCTGTTATTATGCTTTTTTTGTCATGCACTGAACTAAATAAAGCCCCTTTTACTGTTCTGTGATTAAGTTTGCTTAAATAAAAATTATTGTCGTATGTGTGCAAATATCACACATATTAAAATATTATTTGTTAGTTGCCCAGTAATGAAAAAGTTAGCACCTTAATACCTGTCTTTTTTTTTTTTTTTTTTTAAAGACTATTAAATGTCCAATGTCAGCTCTATAACTTAAGTTATTTTATATGTTTACTCAATGTTAGAAATTGTGTGTCATGAGTTTATAGATGCACACAAATTCATGTGAATAATTCTTTTTCTAGGAAATCCCAAAACATGGTTTTAGACCAGGCATGAAGGTGGAGGCTGTAGACTTAATGGAACCAAGGTAAAAATCCTATATAAGGCTGAACATTTTTAATCATTATTATAATAAAATATATGATTAATTTTTTACTACCAAAATGCCTGATAAAATTAGCTAGACTACTACTTTAAGTTACAGTTTAACTATATTTAGGTACTGTATGATATCTATTATTTAAAAAATAAAAGCTGCTAATAAAATTTGTTTCATATTCCACTAGGTTTGCTTATACAAATAACATTTGTTGACCTTCATAGCACATTTTTAAACTTTATTCAGCACTTAAGTTTTTAAGGCATGCTATCACTTGTACCTTGAAAAAATAAAAAAGGTTATCAATTTTTTACACACCTAGAAGTACCTGGAATACAGCGAGTTACCAAGAATATATTGTCATAAAAACTTGATATCCTGCAGTTATGTAGAGATTTAAAACATTATTTTGTGGGTCATTTGGCATGTGTCTATTTATAGTAAATTGAGTGGACTTTTATTACAACCGAATTTTATATTTAAACAATTTTTATTCAGGCTGATATGTGTAGCCACAGTTACAAAAGTGGTAGGAAGATTGTTGCGAATTCATTTTGATGGCTGGGAGAATAACTATGATCAATGGATAGATTGTCAGAGCCCAGATATTTATCCTGTTGGTTGGTGTGAGGTTATGAAACACAGCCTAGAGGGACCGCGGACGAGATGTAAGTTTATTTAGCTATTCATATTATATTATCTCTTATTTTCTGATGTATTTATTTGTTTCTAGTTCTAGCTTGTAGCAAAAATATTTTACCATTTTAAAGTTGACCCTGAGATATCCACCAGACGGTAGTTAATATCCTATAAGTATAAGCTTGTCTGTAACTAAGCTTGCGGAAGACACACTTTTAGTGCCCTTTTCTTTTGTTTTGCTTGGAAGAAATTTTATTTGTGTGATAATAGTTATATGATTAAATACATCTTCCTCAGTGGAAAATACTCAACCAAGCTCAGCTCCAATGAATGCAAGGAAACGAAAAGGAAAGACACAGATCTACAGAGGTCCCAGAAAGAGTTGAGTTTATTTTTTTTAAAGTTAATAGTTCTGTTCCTCATGAACATTTAGTTCTTAACACTTCCTTAACGATTTCACTTGACCTAGATGCAGAACTTACAATTAAAAATGTTTGCCGGTATATTTCCATTGGTCTCTCTTATAATACTTTAATGGGCTATTAATTATCATGTACAGTTAAGTTTTATAAACCATTACACTTAAACAGAGGAATAATTATAAGATATTTACCCCCTTCCTTTCCCATTAGGAATATTTGTAAAAAAATATGGCTCTTTTTTTTTTTTTGTGGCTTATCCCATTCTTGCTTACACCACTGCTATGCGTCTCCATACGATACTGTCTACCACTGTAGCATGTACCAGTTACTGAAGTATGTTTGTTCTAGGCACCTGGCAACCCAATTCCCATACTACAAAAACTTATGTCTATTCTCACAAGAACAAAACTCTTTTTTTTTTCTTTTTTTTTTTTGAAAGAAATCTTTCCATTTTTATTTGTATCTTCTTTGGTTAAAAATTTGTGTTCAAGTTCAAAGTTCAGCATGGCTTTCCAAGCTCATTAAAGTTGAAAACATGACTAGCAGTTTAGAAGACAAAACAATAAAGAAAATCTATGTAGAATCTATTGCAATTAGTGTAGAAGGCAAGTAGAAAATACAACCGTGCAAGTGGTATGCGACTGTGACAATATTCTAGGCACCTGGCAACCCAATTCCCATACTACAAAAACTTATGTCTATTCTCACAAGAACAAAACTCTTTTTTTTTTCTTTTTTTTTTTTTGAAAGAAATCTTTCCATTTGTATTTGTATCTTCTTTGGTTAAAAATTTGTGTTCAAGTTCAAAGTTCAGCATGGCTTTCCAAGCTCATTAAAGTTGAAAACATGACTAGCAGTTTAGAAGACAAAACAATAAAGCAAATCTATGTAGAATCTATTGCAATTAGTGTAGAAGGCAAGTAGAAAATACAACCGTGCAAGTGGTATGCGACTGTGACAATGGGTATATCCTGTAACCCTGAAATTGTATCAATGGTCAACGTCAAAAGTTTGAAATAAAAAAATTTTCCTCAAAATCTAAATAACCCTATTTAAAATAGACTTTTCATGTTTTCTTTCTTAAGGCATGCAAGTTTAAAAATTGGTTAAGCAGGACTAATTTTAAGAATTTAACTTTTAAGAAAGAATAAAAAATTAATTCTGATAGTGATTATTATAGAATTTGACTTTTTTTAACAGTTTATGCATGGCTTTCCTTCAGTAATTAATTTATTTGACAGAATCATTTATAATTTATATGACATACTGATTTCTCGGTTTTATTACTAAGCAGTTAATATTTAAATGGCTACAAATTTATTTACAAAAAAGAAATTTGATTCTAGATTATTTGGGATAGAATTGTAGTTTAATTTTTTGTTTCTTATAGAGAGAAGCTCTGGATCTGACAAGAAAGCTAAAGATCCTTCCAAGTTTTCTCCATCAGCTTATTCAGCTATTGGTGGAATGGGAAGCCGATATCAATCCTTCCAATCTCTTCCATCAAAGCTAAGTGATCCAGCCTTTCCACCCCACAAGATGCTCTCTCCAGAAGCTGTTGCAGCAACTCTGTTACCTCTGCATGAACACGATATTGAGGGAAAAGTTGTTTCAGGTTTGTTTGGCTGTTTCTTTTGTTGAATTTTGCCTGCTATAATAATTTGCAAAAGAATTAGGCTTAATTTACCTATAGTGATTCAATAAATTCAGCTAGTGAGTCTATCTATAATGGCCATAAAAATTGCTAACCTTAAAGTTAATTAATTAATTTTTTGCAAGAACAAATATTTTTAATGAAAAAAACCTTTTGTCTGTTTTAGAAAAATAAAATGTAGAATGGAGGGGAAAGTTGAATCATTCGAAATAGATGTTGGTGTGTGCTAAAAATAACTGATTATATATTGGCCTTAAATGTAATTGTATATTTAGACAAAAGTCGTAAATATTTTTCTAATTCCTATAGAGCTAGTAAAAATATCTATATTTTTCAGTTAAAACTGAAGAAATTGCAAGCCCCACTCCAGCATCAGATGCCAATCCACCTATTCTCTCTCCGCATGGGAAAATCCCACAAGGATTTTCCCAAGAACTTGCAGAACGCCTTAAGTCTAGTACACCTTTGAAATCATCCATTGCAAGTGTGAACAGCAGCAATCTGTCTGAAAAAGCAGCTAAAGCTGGTACAGTTCTCAACAGCAACATGAGCTCTGCTCCTGAGAAAGAGTCAATGGAATCAAAATCTAATCGTATAGCCTCCTCATCCTCAATGACACTAGATGAATCTGAAGAGACAGGCGGTGTTATTGTATTGACTTTGTCATCACGGCTGAGATCATTACACCTCGGCAAATGGAGCCTCTCTGATGTTGTGGATGTTCTTAAAGTAAATGGCTGTGCTGTCTATACACACATCTTTATTAAGAAAGTAAGTTTTTTGGGGGGGTTTTTTCAAAAAAATTTATTATTACTAGAATTTGAATAATGTACCATACCAGGTATTGAAATATGTTGAAATCTGTAATTGTAATCAGATCTGACTAATCTTCAGACTTAAGATTATAATTATTGTTTTAGGGATAAATTTGCATTCATTTCTTTTACATTTTAACAGAGGTTTACAATAGCAAAAGGTCATGTAAATATTAACATGAGTTTGAATAAGCTTTTTTTTTTTTTAAATGCAAATTTTATGTGTACCGGGGTATACCCTTACAATACCAGTACAATATTAATTCTGGAATGTACTGTAGCAGATTTACCTTTAAATTAATAGATCTTGATCTTCTGAAATAACTTACTGGTTGTGAGTTTATTAGAGGTACATTTGCTTTGATTTATACAGAATTAAAATACATATTTTTTCTATTTTAGAATCTTGATGGTGCTAGCCTTTTGGCCATGTCAACTGATCAGTTAACTAAACTTGTTAACGTTGTAGATGGGCCTATTCTTCGTCTCTGTGATTTAGTGCAACAAGTCAAGTCATGTTCAGCCAGCCTAAAGGATGGCGGGGACAGCAAAACTCCATAGCAGAAAGATTATTTATGCTTTCCTATTAATTACAGTTACAGTTTTATTGATAAATTAATGTTATCATCCGAATCCAACAGAGATGTTTCTTCTTTATTATTGATATAAATGTGTAACTTTCTTAAGTTAGCGTAGATTATAACTACTACTAATTAATTTAACTAAATATATACGCTACTCTTACCCTTAAGAATAATTTTCATAAATAAGAACTAATTTAATATTTTGTACTAATACTTCTAATAGTAATTCTAAAAACAGATTCTATATCATTTTCATAAAGTAAAGGTGCAAGTACTGGTAACTCTTATTCTCATGAGGGCCTTTTTCATTTTTAAATTAAATATTTCATGTTCATCTATACATTTCTGTCTCAAGATGTGTATTGGTTTCATTTGTAAATGTCATATTGATACAACAGTGCCTCATTATTGAATTCATTGTATTTGTTCTGATAACAGACCTGTTTACCCTCCAACTCTTAAAATCGTACAATATCCTCACAAAATTTCAATGCATTATCTGAATAGTAAAAAAAACATACAGTATATATAATATATAGGCCTCAAAATCGTACATTGTACGCCAATATCGTAAGAGTAAACAGGTCTGTGATGATTTGTTATTTATGGCAGTGTTTCTCAAAAATAAAATTTAAACCTAGTCTACAGTGATACAATTTCCATTTCTGGCTTAAATAACTTAATATTTAGTATGGTATGGTATCATCCCTTGTGTAAAATCATGTTTATTTTTACTAGTAATTTATTTAAAAATCTTTCATTCTAAGGTGTTTAAAAAAAAATAATTTTTTTGAGATATTTCACATTTTAAAATTATTTTTATTTCATGCACAAATTACTTCTTTACTCACAAGGGATGATGATATATTAAAACCATTTATGGAAACATTCAAATATTGCGTAGAAGTGTGAAAGTGATAAGAAAGGAATGTTAAATCTCATAATACATCATTTTTAAAATTCTAATTTGAGAAACACTGTTTATTCAAGCTAACTGGCATTTAAAGGGAGAAACTACTATAATTTTAGTATAAGCACCTAAAAGAAGAAGCTAATGCCACACTAAAATTTGTCAAAATATTGGTGACCATATCTGGGATATATCTTGCTATAATTACATTGTGATAAATTATTATTGTATGATGGTGCATAATTTGCATTTAGAATTTAAAATAAATTGAAATACATTATTTACATGTAATGTAACATGTTCCTGTCCCAAAATGGTGAGATTTAACTTAAGAATTATATCTCTACTTGGTATTCTGAACAGTAATAAAATAAACTTACTTTTGAAACAAATTATGGGTAGTTATTTATTGTATACTGGGATCAAAAAAGAAATGAATGAGGTAGGTTTTATACCCTACCTAAATAAAATATTTTTAAAAACATTTTTTATAAATAAAATTTAAATGTAATAAATTTGCAAATAATAATAATGTTCACTATGAAGAAGCCTCTGCCTATTAGTATATAAGATAGGTCTAACCCTTCCCAGAAAGCTGTGGCATAACAGTACTGGTACCAAAAGAAAAATATGCAAGTTCAGAGTACCAGACCTGTTTACCCTCAAAATCGTACAATATCATTACAAAATAGTTCAATACATATTCTTAATAGAAAGAAAAAACATTCAGTATATATAATGTATACCGTACACCCCAAAATCGTACGTTGTACACCAAAATCATAAGAGTAAACAGGTCTTGAGTACATTAAAGTACCTTGTGAAATTTTTATTAGCCAGTGTAGCTTTTATAATTGGCTTAACGCACCACATGAACAAAAAAATATATTGTTCGATTTCAGGTCATAAACTCATTTTTTTCCTCCATGAAAGTTATAACCATTTAATTAATTGAAGGGTAGAATTCAAAATTCCCATTCCAAAATAGCATTTTAATTTTAGATCAATCAGATGCTCAAAGATAAGTTCATCTGGCGACAGTTGAGAACAAATCTGTACCAGTACCAAGAATGTTAAAGACTGCAGCAATTGAAATAGCTAGTAATTTTTATTCTGGTGCAGTCAGCAGAAGCTACAATATCTAAGAATTATGCGGCTTTTAAACTTTGATGAAATAAATACTTTAACATACTAGTACTACTATTAGTACTAGGCTCAATTAAATAATCAAATGATGTTCAGGCTTGCACGTTTAATAAACAAACATACCTGTATCTAATTCCAACAACCTAACTTAAACTAGATTCCAAAACTATGACAGACTGTTCTCTTTTTTACATCTGCTTAAGCTTTAACTACAATTCTTTGAGAATTATGTTCGCCTTTGTTAGTACTGTTATGTCAATGTCATGTCCATTTTTTTTTTTTTACTTCAGAAGGTGAATCAATTGACTTAGAATCTATAGAATAATCAGAACCATGCAATTCACCAAAATTAAAAGTGCACCTTTGTTTTTTGACAGGAGAGGTTGGACTGCTGTGTTAAAGCTAATTATTGTCCACTTTATACTTTATGAACACACTTTTATATTTATTTACCACCCTAAATTTTGGGATTTCCTTCTCTTTGAGAGACTTATCTGTGGCACACTTGTGCAGAGCTATGCATTAGAAAACCATTCAGTTTAAATTAAGGTAAACTGTTTCATTTTTTAAATTCATTTCAATGTTAAATGTAAATTGTCATATATTTATAAACAGAAGAAAACAATTTGAGGTTTTACTCAATTTATTTTTTTTTCACAATGTTGATTCATATTAGGTTAACTAGTGATTAAATAAAATCAGGAAGGATGAATATTTTTTTATGAAAATCAATGATAATGATAGAAATTTTAATTCCAAAAGTAATAAATTGACTTCCGTTGGCCTAAGAAAATTAAAATGATCTTTGAATGATCTTTGCAAATAATTAAAGTCCTAATTGCAAAATATGAGATATTCATGATAATGAATTTTACAAAATGAATATAAAGATGATAACAGTAAAAGACAACAGTGCTCAGCATGAAAAAAAGATAATTATATTGTGAAGAAAATTAGGCTTGGGAATTCCACTGTAATTTTCTTTAAATGATCATCAACATGACCAGAGAATATCTGCTACACTGTAGTTTATATTAACTGCATTATATTTTGAATCCATTTTTCATGCTGAGGTATCCAACATTGATCAAAAAAACATTCAACGTAATAAAAAAACACATTTCTTCCTTCATTCCTTTACACTGTACAAGCACATTCTTAAAAGTTTATGTCAGTTGCTTCAAATGTTTTTCCAAATTCAATGCCTCAGTATGTGTAGTTTTTACCAGAGCCAGGACAAGTTACCCCCTGTTTGTTGTTGGAAAACATCGATAGAGTCACCATCCTCCATTTCCAACTGAAAATGAATAATATCGTTTACATTTATAATCTCTTTGGAGTAAAATTATGTGGGAACATGAAAGAACAGTGACCAAATTTAACAAATACCGTAAAACATAAATGAACATTAAAATTACACTTTTCTGGCAAATCAGAATAATTGGTCAGAATAAAATGTCAGTACGATACTAAAGATCTACAAAGTAATTCCTTTTTTCAAAGAAAGACGCTTTAGCCTTATTTAATGAGGATCTACAGTTACATCTGCATATTAAACTTTTTAATATTCTTTTAAGGACTAAACTAGTCGAACTTCATAGTAGCCCCAGCTGATAAATCTGCACTGTGCCTCATCTAATGGGCACCAATGTTCCCTCTAAGGTTTGCTGGTTCGTGTGCAAAAGTATACAGTTGTGTGCAAAGTTTTACAGCATCAATTTTGTTGTGTGCAAAATTTTACAGCCCACAAACACACACTTAAATGGAAATTTGCTGTGTGGATACTCAAAACTGCTGCGCGGCGTCTGTGAAACTGCCGCGCAGACTTAAAGGGAACATTGATGGACACTACCATATAAAAACTCCATGATGTGAAAATCATCCATGTAAAATCCCCTTCCTCCAAGGTCTGTGTGATTTCAATGAAGGAACCAATAAGTACTTAACTTACTTAACTATACACACGACTTATATCCATGTTTTGCAAAAAAAGTGCAAACATGGGGTTAGGAAATGTTATTTGCTCTTTATTAGGTTTATTTTTTTGATGCATAGCTTTAATTTGTAAAAACTAAAAACTGATTTTTTGAAAACATTTTGAAACTTAAAAAAATATTTTAAAATTATAGTTCATCTGAATATCAAAGTTACTTCCCACTGTTCATGAAGTCAGATTTGGTAAATAAATCAGGCAAGAGGAATTGAGTAAACACATACCATTGCTGGAGTGTCTTCATCGTTGATTGGATTCCCATCAAATCTGAATCTTACAACACCTGTTTGTATACCCTGCGTTAGAGAGAAGATTAAAATTAAGCAAGCATTTAAAAACACTGTGCCTTTCAATGGTGCCAAAAATTAAACTTCATAAAAATTTGAAGATTATGGCAGATCTAAACTTTCCTTTATTTTTATAGATGTGATTTAACCTTGAAGAGATTTGTTATTAAAAAGTTTTTAAAAAAGTTGCAGATACTATACACAGCTCCAAGGCATTTCGCAGACATTCTTTGTGAGGAAAGGTTATATATAAAACAGCCATAATTCTTCAATTTTTCATGTGTAAAATAACAGGGTTCCTGCACCAAATCTAAAAACAAATTCCAGGAGTTTTCCAGGAGAAAATACAATATTCCAGGACATTTTTTAAAGAGTAAAAAACGGAGAGACCCTATACGCTTATACAATTTTTTGTAGTAACAGGACATAAATGCACTTATATAGTACCGGTACTTACTCTAAGGATTGCCAATGCTATAGCAATTATTTGATTTAGGTATGTACCGGTATAGATATTCTGGCCCCGAGTTCACATACAATTGAGTAACTTGGTTTTTTATAAGAATAAGATGTACTTGATGTTGGATAACAAACAACTAATAAAGTTATAAGATAATCCATTTTATTCACAAGTAAGTCATATTTATTTCCTAAGATACACATAACCTAGGAGCTTGACTAGGAAGTTGCAAAAGTTGACACCCGAGGTAGGTGAAAAAACTTAAGTTGAACTAGAGGAAGTCTCAGATGATTGTTGTTTATCATTTTCCCTTAATTTTCATGGCATCCGAGAACTGTCCTGCAAATATACTTCATATATTTACAGTATTTTTGTTTTTTCCTGTACTCATAAAGATCCCTAAGACGTGACGTGAGCTGTATTTTGTTGAAATTTAGGGAGAGTTGCTCAATTCGCCAGAGCCACTCTCTCGTCGTTGCCTATTTGATTCAATGGTAAGATTAGTCAAGACGACTGGATATAGATCAGGATGCAGTAGATTACCAGATTGAGTGTGTGTGTGTTTCACTATGCTCTTTATGCTTTCTACGTCATAGGATTTTGTCAGAATTTTCATTGAGTCAATGTCATAACGTCTACGGGTCTCCATCTCCGGGTTTGATTTCATAGTTTTCCTTCTCCAAGTTGAGTTGCCATTCAAAGTTAACGAGTTCCATCTACCCGGCATGCTGGTGATGTTTTTGCTTGTCTAGGCATTTTCTGGGGATAGAACTCCAGTACACTAGCCACTAGCTTGGGATTGACTCAGTTCAGAGTCAATATCTAGTATAGAGTAGCAGTGATGGCTTGTTCAATCAGGATTGCTATCTTAATTATCAGTCCTCAAAGGAACCGTTGGGCATTTATTTACCCTAGACCTTGAATAGTGAAATAAAATAGAATTAATTTATTATCATATTAGGTCTATAATATTGACTATATTATAAGTTATACTGGTACTAAATTAATAATAATACAGAGAGAGTCAGAAGAGAAACTAATATAGGCATATGCCTATGTAACGGCTTAGTCCGGATTTTAAACAGGGGAATGGGTCAGCGACCAAGCAACCACTTTTTTTTTTTAAATTTCGGAAGTCTCCCCCCCCCCTTCCCAAGCCAACTATGCTTATAATACCGCAAAGTATGCCTATACCTAGAGCACAGGGGTGCATCACTTAATTTTTAACTACGTGTATAAATAAGGACTAACTATGTAAAGTTATGTGAAGCTCAATGGTTGCATCAGCTAGTTTTAATAACTTTAAAATGAAGTTCCGAAGTCATTTTTGAAGTCATCGTAAACTATGCTACAACATGCAAAAATAACATAACATAACTTTTTTTATTTAGTATTCTCCTATTTAGAAGGCCTAACTAAACTTAACTTACAAAAAGGCCTAGCACTCACTATAAACTATGTTTAAAAAAATATGTGTCAATATAATTGTTATAAAAAAGGCCTACTACTTACTACCTTTTGTTAATTTTTATAAATAAAAATCAATTTCATCTTCTTTGCTAACTGTAAAAGCCGAGAGCGTTTGCAACACCATACTCGCGAAAACGCCGTATAATATAGGCAGTGTCTACACGTCCGGCGCGCCGGACGTCTATCTCCCGCACTATGTGTCCGGCGACCAAGTCACATGACCGCCGTAACAAAGTGGCGAGAGATATTGTGTCGGTCAGCCTTGTCACGTGACTGCGAATAATTCAAAACTATTGTTAATTTTAAAATCTATTTCTCTACCAAGATACTGAGTATCTTGAATGCAAATAATAGAAAAAGAAACTTAAGTGAAAGTGGCTTGTAAACATTTTTGTTTAGTTTGTTATTTTTTATGTACCAGTAATCCATAAAATAAATTAGGGGCCAGTGTGGCAACCAATAAAAGTTAAAGATTTCATTTTAAATTATTTCAATTGCTACAAAATATTTAAAAACTTCTCATGAAACTACTGTTGCTGAGGAACATGATAATATAAATATATACAAAATATTTTAATTAAAATGGGAAGAAAAAAAACGACCCTATCCCCGGTATAGATCCTCAAACATTCCTATCGTCAAGCAACCACTCTACCACAAGACCAGACAAGATGTACTAAATCGCACTTCGTTTGGAATTATAAAAACTACTAGCCGTCCGGCCATGTCCGGCGGTCACGTGACAAGTCGCCGGACGTGTATCTTGCGCACTACACGTCCGGCGCGCCGGACGTGTAGACACTTCGTATAATATAATGGTCAAAACTGATACTTTTCAAACTCGTGTTAAAGACATAAAAGTAAGATAATTCGTCAGATAAAGACTTAAACTTTATTCACATATTCATATCAATTGTACTCCTTTAAAACTACTATATAAGTAGGTTAATTTTTGTTTTTGAAAACTTCGGAAAATGACCCCAAAACTAAAACTACGCTTTCTCCAGTTTGGACAACCTACGGTAAAACTAACAAAACTTCAACTTTAAAAAAAAATTAGGCTAAGCTTAGTCAAATTATACAGCGATCGGGCGCGTAGTTTTCTATTCATAATACTAATAATAGTTACCAAAAATTTAAATAACTACAGATAAATATCTATTTACTGTATTTTACACTATACTTACCAAATAAATTAGTTGAACGGCGAACTGAACGGAACGAAAAAAACTTCTTGTCTATCAAAGCATTACGGTACGACATTTCATATCCGAAACTCGTAAAGCGCATGCGCAGTTAAGGGGAAACCACTATAATTATTATGGCAAACTCGTTTTGATAAATGAATGGCTAAAAATAGACTACGAATTGAATATAGCGGTAATATTAATTTATAAAATAACTATCGCGACCAACTTTTTTTTCCCCTCCCTCTGTGGAAACAAAAATTTCAGGACATTTCAGGAGAAATTTTAAAATTTAAGGAGTTTTCCAGGATTTTATCATTTGTTTTCAAATTCCAGGAGATTTCCAGGAGCTCCTGGAATTTCAGGAGGCCGCGGGAACCCTGGTAAAAGAATGATTTCTAGCCATCTATTATCATTAAGACTAACCTCTTGACATAAGCATAATATTTTCCCCAGATTCAGGGTGACAAACATCTCAAAAGTAATTGAAAAATAAGCATACCAGCACCAAAAACAAAATCAAACCACAGAATGCATTGAATATACTTTCTCCTTGAGGTACTAAATACATATTTTTGTTACTTCAAAAGTGCCACCTCCCTAAAGATATTGACAAATACTTTTATCACTAGTGAATATTGGCTTAAGTTCTAACTCTTACCGCTCTGTTGCAATATGCGCCCATTAACTTTCGAAGTGGTGTATTCTTTTTAATTTTAAAATGGACAACACTACCATCTTGGCCTGTTACTTTGAGGTTTATATGTTCACTTTCTTTGTGGTCCTCCTGAAAAGTTAAAGAAATTTAATAATGTGTTAACTTTTACTCATATACTATTTCTAAATGCTTATCTATCCAAGCAGATTGTTTTAAGCACTTTTCCCCTTAGTTGAAGCCAAACAACACAATTTGGTTTGATTTTACTAAAATACCTACCTTATTTACTTTTTTCCATACCAAACTTTAAAAAAACAATATTTCAAGGAAAAATTGGAGATGTTTGCTTATGAACAGGTCATAGAGGATTTTTATAATTTTCTCTAGATGCATGTTCCAATTATAGAAAATAATGTTGAAAAAAGTAATTAAACAAAGAACACCTTAGAGATGTATGAAAAAAAATTGTGATTGCTGTAACTGGCTGTATCAAAGTACTTACAATGAATATTGAAATATCAGATAATATATAAGATTGGAGCAGCAGTTGAAATCTAATTCTAATTTTATAATAATCAGAGCAATTCTAGTTTGATACTATTTGTGACTAGTACCTGACCTGACCAGTTACAGGTAAGTGATTATGTGATCTGTATTTATAAAGCAAACTTGGACTTCCCAACAATTGATAAATATACCAGAATACATGGAAGGAAAGACAAGACGACCATACTGTACATTATAGAAGAGCAGAATGCATACATGCCAACGACCTCTGTGATATTGATACCACTTGAGGATTGATTTTTGGGTTAGTGTTAAGGCTGGCAATGTCTCTAAAAGATATCTCCAAATGCAATTTAAGCAGTACTCTTGTTACCGGGTACTGAAGTTTTAACATACAGGTGTTTCTATTTTCAACTAATAAAAATAAAGCAAAAGTGTGTAAATTACATCAACAAAAGAATTGTTGGAAAACCAAGCCGGGGACTGGGAGTGAGTTTTGTGTTTAAATCAATAATGGGTGGATAGGCACCTAATAGCCCACAGGGCAGGGTTCAGAGATGCTTTTTTTTTTAATACTAGACTGGATGAAAAGGTTCACTAAAATTTTTTAAAAAGAGTGTTGTTACACTAGAATCATCATCAAAAGAGATACCGGTACATGAAAAATTAAAACATTTTACTACTACTTTTAACAAGGGCTATCTTACAGAACAGACGTGTTCACTCCTTAATTCATTCAATTTTAAAATTGGCTAAAACCGAGGACGGCTGCCACGGCGTCTTTTGTGTCTTTATTAATTATAGTTGCAGTGAATTAGGGTTTAGGTTAGGTTTAGGGATAGATTTAGGGTTCAGGTTAGGCATAGGGATCAATTCAGGGATACATTCGTTAAATTCGATTAAAAAAAAGTGGCAGGCGTCCCCATTTTTAACCTTTAAATTTTATCCAAGTGCCTAAATTAGGCATTCCAATTGAATAACCAATTTTAAACTTCTCTTACTAAGGGTATCATTTTAAAAAACTTAGTCCCAACATATTTGTTATTGTGTGAGAAGTGTGCTTCTTAAATATTTCCAATTATAAGGATAAACATGTGCTTGCTTGTAAAGAACATGGTCCTGGTGAATACCCCGCTTTGTGGCTTTTTTACTCTCTTACACTACACAGTTACACTTACTACTATGGAATTAGATTACGTTTTTAATATTGTGGGAGGCAATAACAACCGTTTGAAAGAAAATGTACAAATTATTGCCCACTTCACTTAAGCAGACCTCTACCATAATAATTAATTTTAATTAATTTATTTAAGACAACTCAAAACTGCCGGATCGGCGGATGAGATGGCTCCACTGACTAGTGACTCTCAGAATATTGAGACTAGAGAATGACAGAGTCGTGCGACTTCCGAGTGACAGAAAGAAAATTATAAAGCATTAGACAATCGGTTATGATAAATAAGTATATCTCTTTCGGCCCTTATATTATATTATTAAAGCATGTAGGCCTACCTTCTTCTGACTTTCTTCCATTTTTATTTTCGTGTATTACTCCTCACTCTGTGTAAAATGGCGCACAAAGGGAAGATACGCTGGGAATAATGAGTAAAAGTAATCGAGTTGAAGTAATTGGTATAGCAACTACAAAAAAAAAAAAAGAAGTTTAAAAGTTTCGATATAAATTTTATTATGGGAGTTCATAAACCTGCAGCGCAGTGGTATAGACTAACTATGAAAACCCCTAGATCAAAAATCTATTTTTTCAAAAGCGTTCGATTAATTTCATGTAATCTTATAAAATTATTTTTATTTTCGTGTATTACTCCTCACTGTGTGTAAAATGGCGCAAAAAGGGAAGAAAAGCTGGGAATAATGAGTAAAAGTAAACGAGTTGAAGTAATTGGTATAGCAACTACAAAAAAAAAAAAAAAAGAAGTTTAAAAGTTTCGATATAAATTTTATTATGGGAGTTCATAAACCTGCAGCGCAGTGGTATAGACTAACTATGAAAACCCCTAGATCAAGAATCTATTTTTTCAAAAGCGTTCGATTAATTTCATGTAATCTTATAAAATTATAAAGATGCTCTTTTGGAGGTTGATAATCAACAAATTTTTATGTATTGATATTGTTATATGCAAGTTTGTTTGGAAAATTGACTAATTAAGAGGGGTAAGGAATGACTAAACTTGGCTTTAAATATTTTCATCAGAATAAAAATAATGCAGGCAACAAATGAGTTGAAAAGTTCCTGATTCTAATTTTACAGTACACATAAGAAATTGGAAAAGCCTACTTACGTCTTTCAGATACTATTGTATCGATATATAAAATTTGTATCGATGTCAAAAAATTGCCCCGGTATGGATAAAAATAAAGAATTCAGGCATTCCTCTCAAATTTTTACAGTCATGCAAAACCCATCTTAAATTATTCATTTTCATTAAATTTTAAAAATTAATATTACACATATTTTTTTTTATTTTGTGTACCATTTGATGGCCCATAATGAAATATTCAACATAATGACATCAATTGCTGCTGCATTAGCCCGGTGAAATGTGAAATAAGGTCACTGAATTATGTATCCAATCACCAATGACTACCCACACCCTCCCCCTCAGTGTGTCACTTTCCTCAAAAATCCTTTGTTAAACTTAAAAGTGAAATATGTTGGTGCTTAGGGCGCGCGCGATTAGCATAACTCTTGATTATTTAATGTTAATATAGAGGGCATCATATAGATGAATTAACACTTTAAGGCAGTAGACACGGCTTGGTTACTGATCGAACGAAGAGTCTACTTTCGACGACTATAAGTAAAATAAAAAATTATGATAACTGACTGATGTCTATTTCCGAAATTGACCACTTTCTACGATGTCATAATCATCTTCAATGGCACTACAGCCCATGTAGGGCCCTGGCCTGCTCCACCACATCCTTCCATTCGGAGCGATCCATGGCTTTCCGTCTCCATGCTCGAACCCTCAACTGGTGTAAATCTGTCTCCACATCATCAATCCACCTCATCCTTGGGCGACCGATGAGTCGTCTGCCCCTAGGCTTCTGCCTATATATAATTTTGGCTGCTCTGCATTCAGGCATCCTTTCAACATGACCTGCCCAGCGTATTCTGCCTTTTTTTTTATCATTGTGACTATGGGTGGTTCTTTGTACAAATAGTAAAGTTCTTGGTTTGTACGTATTCGCCAGATATCATTTTCTATCACTGGTCCGTATATTTTGCGGAGGATTTTCCTCTCCCATGTGTTGAGCAGGTTCTCTGCTTTTCTGGTGAGGGTCCAGGTCTCACTAGCGTACGTTACTACAGGTCTTATGATGGTGGTGTATATTGTCTTCTTTGTACCCCTTGATAGGTTTTTGTTTCCCAGTAGCGTTTGTAGACTGAAATAGGAACGGTTGCCTGCTGTTATCCTTTCTTTCACCTCTGACATTATCTCATTGTGCTCATTTATAGTTGCCCCTAGATATTTGAATGTGGTCACTCTCTCAAATTTGTGGTTGTTTATATTGATGTTATTATCAGCATGGGAGTTTCTTGACATTATCATATATTTTGTATGAGCCGAGTAAGCTTGTTAGGGACTCCAAGTTCTTGTTAAGCATTGTATAAGTAATTCCTGTTTACGCAATCGTAAGCTGTTTTGTAATCCACATATAGTTGGTGCATGTCGATGTTATATTCGTAGCATTTCTCCAGGAGACATCTTATAGTAAAAATCCGTGGTTGACCTATTCTGCCGGAATCCACATTGATAGTCCCCAAGGATCTGTTCACTATACTTTTCCATTTTTCTCGCTATAAGTTTTGTGAGGATTTTGTACATTACATTAAAAAGGGAGATACCTCTATAGTTTGAGCTTATCAACTTAGATCCCTTTTTTGGATTGGGATTATGAGTGCCGTGTCCCATTCAGTTGGCATTTCTTCCTCTTGCCAGATTCTGGTTATAAGTTCGTGTATTTGCCTATGCAGTTCGCTACCACCTAGCTTAATGAGTTCTGCAGGGATAAGGTCTATTCCTAGGGCTTTGTTATTTTTCATGGTGGAGATTACATCTTTTATCTCATTTAATGTTGGTTGGTTGACCAGTGGGTCCGGTCCTCCCTGTGGCGGGGCGTAATCCTCATTGGTTCCTCCACCTGAGCCATTCAGTAAGCCTTCAAAGTGTTGTGCCCATCTCTCTAGTACTCTACTGCTCTCTGTGATCAATTCTCCATTCGTGCTTTCACACATGTGGGATCTTGCTTGAAAGCCATTCTTTTCCTTCTTTATCTTCAAGTACATTCCCCTCACATCTCTTTCTTTTGCCAACTCTTCTATCTCTACTATTTTTTTATTTTTCCCAAACACGTTTTTTCTTTCTGCAAATTTTGCTGGCCACCCTTCTTGCTTCATTAAATAATTGTCGTGTTCTTCTTGTTTCCCTTTGCAGCATCATTAGCCGAGCTTTGTTTCTTTGTTCTATAAGTTCTTTGCATTCTGCACCATACCATCCTGTTCTTTTCACTGCTGGTTTAAATCTAATCGTTTCCTCTGTTACACTTGTGACTATTTGCTTCATCTTTTCCCATTTCTGGTTTATATCAACGTTGCTGGCTGATTCTCTTTTGGATAATTCTAGTAGAGTTTCAATCTTCTGTTGATATTCCTCAGTAATTTTTGGGTCCCTACTCAGTTTCTGACTATCGTACTGTTTTTCTCTTTTATTTTGTTTATTGTGGATGTTACAAATTCTTTGCTTATATTTGATTCTAACAAGCATGTGGTCTGAGTCTATGTCCGCCTCTCTACAACTTTTCACACATCTGATATGCCCGAGCCATGCCTCCGTCGATGAGTACGTGGTCTATTTGATCACAGGTAAATCCATCTGGAGATATCCATGTCGCTTTATGTATTTGTTTATGTTGGAATACTGTGCTACTGATTATCATTCCTTTTCCAGAGGCGAAGTCTATAAGACGTGTTCCGTTGTCATTGCTCTCATCATGCATACTTTCCTTTCAGATTGTTGGTCTGTAAACTAGTTCTTTCCCAATTTTCGCATTGAAATCGTCAAGGACTATTTTGATATCATGGCGTGAAGCCTCATCAAATACTCTTTCCAGTGTTTCGTAGAAAGTTTCCTTCATGCTTTCATCTCTATCTTCCGTTGGAGCATGAGCGCAGATTAACGTGATGTTAAACATTTTTCCTCTAATCCTTATGGAGCATAATCTTTCACTCACTGGTTTAAACCCAATGACTGCATTTACTGTCTCTCTTTTGACTGCAAACCCTGTTCCTAAGGTATTTGTGTTGTTTCCACTGTAGAATATTGTATATTCCTTTGTATTTAGGATATCTGAGTCTTTCCAACTAATCTCCTGTAGTGCCGTAATCACGATTCTATATCTAAGTAATTCCTCACTGAGATGGGCCAAGGCACCTGCTCTGTATAAACCGAGTACATTCCAAGTCGCTATCCAAATGTTATGTGTGTGGTCAGGCATGGGTCGAAATCCATAAATATCAGTCCGTTTTTCTGATAGTGGTTTTACTTTCGTAACATTAGCTTTTTGACGTGACAGGGTCGTCAGCCCTGCGCACAACCGTCTGGGGGGATGCCCCTTGCAGCTCTCAGGGTAGCTGCCTTTGTATTGGGTCGGGTCCCTAGCCTTTGTGGATCCCTCCACTTCCTACAAGGCAGTAGGTACTGATTTTGGTCCGCCCCCGGTATTTTATTTCCCCGGTACCCTCCATATCTGGTGGGCTTTCCCCTATCCGCCACCTGGGGAGGCGCTCGATGACAAGACTTTCTACGATGAGTTTACCGAAATTCAAAGGCTTAGAATGTACCTGAAAGCAGCAAATTTTGATCTTAACCAACACAAAGACTGGCCAATATTAGATGTTTTGAAATGCTTAACTAAATCATGGGAATTTCTGAAATCTCTTTCAAACCTTACGGTCAGATCCGAATTAAAGCGTTCAGATGCCATGAACTCTTAACAATTATGGTGGGCGCCATTTACATGCTTGGCACGGCCCTCTTTACATGCACAGTTGTGACGAGTAGCGTCCAGTCTTTGACGAATCTTCTATGAATATCCAAAATAAATATACATAAGTGCATGCTCTCTCTCTCTCTCAATATCTATCTATCTATCTATCTATCTATCTATCTATCCATCCATACATCCATCCATCCATCCATCCATCCATCCATCCATCCATCCATCCATCCATCCATCCATCCATCCATCCATCCATCCAATCCATCCATCCATCCATCCATCCATCCATCCATCCATCCATCCATCCATCCATCCATCCATCCATCCATCTATCTATCGATCGATCGATCGATCGATCGATCGATCGATCTATCTATCGATCGATCTATCGATCTATCGATCGATCTATCAATCTATCGATCTATCGATCTATCTATCTACCTATCTACCAAGATTTGACCCCTTGTTGGGTCGTCGGTCGGTCTGGTTGTGTCTGGGTGGACCCTTGCCTCACTAGAAAGTCATTTCTTTCATTTTGGGATAATCCCGCGAGTCCAATGATCTATTTAAGCACCATCCTACCTCTGAATTTATGTCTTGTATTTCATCCAGAATGGCATTGGCCATTTTCGTGTCTATTATATTCTTGTTTGCTTTTATCTACAGCTGTTTGTAATTCGGATATTGTAAAGGGAGCTGTGAATACCTCAAGGGGAGAACCCGTTCTTAGGGCACGTGTTCCCGCCTTTCGGAGGTGTTTGATGGTCCGACTGGCTTCGGTGTCTATGGCTTCTTTGCAGATTTCTACGAGATGATTTCAAGCGCCCGTGCGCACTTTGCACTGCTCGCCACTATGCCGTCATCTATGTCTAATAGATGTGTGTTATTGGGCTTTCCCATGCCAGAGAGATTGCTAAGCAATCGCCAGAGATTTCTTCTGTTTAAAAGCTTTATTTTATTTTAATTTTTTTTTTGCCACAAGCTTTAACTTTAACCTGCTTAGACTTTTTAGCTTAGAGGATCTCTTCCCGCACTTGGGCTGTCAATCGATTGTATGCCGCTTGAGCTTCGGGTGTTTTCTTTTTGGTGGCTTTTTCAGAGCCTTAGCACTTTTTTTTTTTTTGCCATTAGTGCCTTCAGAGATTCTTTTTAACAGTACGGTCTAAATGTGTGTTTTTCTTTTTTTTCTCGGAATGACTCGCCTGCCTATCCTGAGAATCTTGCTAATGAAGACTTCGTTACTTCACGTTTATGCGTTCTGGTATTTGAATTTTATTTGGACCACAGCCAGCGTGGCACCACGCACACAACGCCCAGTAGCTTTTTTTGTCTTGTACCAACCTGTCTCCCGACGTTGGAATGAGAGGATACCCAACCAGTGTCCGTGTCCTCCACTATCCCTGTCCCCAGGCACAAATGAAGAAGACTGTGACTGAGATGCCTGTTCCATATCTAAAAGTATAATCGTACTTGCCATCGTGCTTAAGAATCCGGATTTTTTTTGCTTTCATCCCATAGGTTGCTAAATAAAATGCATTTTTTTTTTAGAGGCAGGAACAACTAGCAATGGCAACAATTTATTTTCTGGGGCTTTCGCACCTTAGGGGTGCAATCTAATCAGGTTAAGAACCCCTTTTCTGGGGACATTTTTCTGACACGAGCGCATTATTTCAATATCCATGGGAGGTGACTTTTTTTGAGGGTTTGTAAAGGAAAGTAGTGGATATAGTATTTTTTTATATAGTCGGGGTGTGTACAGAAGTTTGTGAAGTTATATTTCAAGGGGCTAACTTTTTGTGACGATGGAAGGGGAGTGGGGAAATCGGCAAAATATGCGTCACTACAGTGACGTCATTTATGGATGCCCTTAGGGCCAATATGTTTCCCTGGTCCTGAAATCTGCTGGATGGTTTCAACTTTTACTACCACTGAATCTAGATCTAGCCTGGTCATGCATAAGCTTAAATCTCTTAAGGCTGGTAAGGCTTTTAAGGCTATAATTCACGTGGCCCATGATGGTAAACCTAAATCACGGAACGCGGGAGCAAACTGTTCACATTAAAAATCTCAATTCATAATTGCATAGGGCTTCAAAAATTTCAAATTCAATGTTTGACGATTTTTACCCCCCCCCCAACCCACCCCCAAATATCCGATCTTCGCACCCAGGGCCGCCGTTTTGCAACCGATCTGCAAAAAAAAACAAAAAACAAGAAACATTGTATCATCTGGGGATATTTATTGACAAAACTTGGGGGTGGCAGCACTGAATGAGGTTGTTGTGCCTGATACCCTCTCGCTCTTTTTACTAAAACAATTAATTGCTCTGGAAAAAAACCTACATAACCACAGAGTCCTATGCTATAAAAACCTAATCAATCCGAATACAGAACTATAATTAAACCATGTAAATGCCTTAAGGCATAATCATCTTCTTAGTCTTAGACTCTAGGAAATTTAGACTTTGACTTAGACTTATAATTTTTAAGATACAAGCAATAATACTAATAATAACACTAATACTATTACTATCATTCAATATTAATTAAAATTAATTCAAATAAAATGTACGTTAAACACATGTAAAAGTTCTAGGTCAAAACAACCCATCATGCAGCTCATTACGCATGATACTTTTCTTTTTGTTTTAAATTGCCAAATGCCAAACTAGCGGAAATTAAACCTTATTTGGCTAAATTCCCAGTCGGCTGGGAATTACGCTCAGGGTTAAGCGCAGCCGACTGCGTATAACGCTTAAATATGATACTAATCGTATGTTGTTTTTTTTCTTGACCATTCGACCACACAGTCACCGTGAAAACATGGTATCTTTATTGATTCATACTGTAACACAGGAAGTAACCATCATAATTGTTACGTAACCAACCGAATATAGACCTCACGTGACTTGCCGACTGCAAGATATGAAGTCGTCTTTGTGGATAGCATACGCTTTGAACAAGATGAACCTTTTGAACCGCACATTGCATTTAGAAAAAAATAACGTGGCATTCCTTAAAAAGAAGTTTTTCTGTAGTGGCGACTACTCAAAATACAATTACAAGACTAGTACTAATGCGACGACAGTGTCGACAATCACCACAGTCCCAGTTGTGTCAATTGTAAGAAAATTCATCAATAGTTCATTGATTAAATTTCCAGGATGTGGGTATAGAAATAATTACAATCTTTTAATTTGTGTGTGTGCAGTGTAAGTGTTACAGTTTACGCCTTAAAATATTAACATCATTTCTAATCTTGTTTCAGTGTGCCTCTTAGTCACAGTCTTATTCTTCTATATATTTTTATGACCTTGGCTAGGCGTAGAAACTAGGAAGTGTATACACGTTATCTCCTGCACTATCTGCAGGGTTGCCAGATTAAAATTTCGATTTTAAGCCAGACGGTATTTGAAAAGAGCCAGAAAAAAGCCAAATAAATTTGAAAATATATTGCATACTCACATTACAAAAAAAGCTCTAAATCAAATTCATTACTCTCATCCTCACTGGAAGTTCTGTAACTAGCGAATCCTATGCCATAAACCTTGTCGGATGTCAAGGCTTTTAGCACTTTTTCAGATGGAGAGGAGTCTTTATTCTGTTTCTGCCTTCGTTTTTACTGTGGTGACAAGAGAGAATATCCTCTCAACTACTGCATTACTAACTGGGGTAATCAAACAAGTAAGAGCATAAGAAGCGAGCTCTTTAAATGCCTGATGTTGCAGCACGCCAATCCAAAACTTTTCACTGTCTGTTGGAGCTCCATCTTTCTTAAATGCAGCTTCTTCTTTCCAATCAATAACAATTATTTTTTCTGTATTGTTCTTCAATAATACTGATGTTGTTTTCAGCAAGGTGTATAAAAGGTAATCTTGATTTACAGCTTCTTCTAACATAGATATAGATCGTTCTTTGACATTTTTTTTTTCCAACTGAGCAGGAACTTATTACATTCTGTTAAGAATTTAATACCAAAATCAATCTCACAAATTTGTATTTTCTGCCCATTAAGATCATATAGTCTGCTCTGAAGACTTTTCTAGTGTAAGAATAATTCTTGATACAATTCATGAGGATCAGGTTTGGTTTGATGAAAAAGACTGTCTAGTCTTTCAAATTCCTGCACAACAGGTGTTGCAAACACAAAGAACAAATAATTTGTGTAGTCTAACACCATTTCCTTTAACAATCTTGCGTTGTATTTTGTGTCAAATTTTTATTGAGCTAATTCAGCACTAGTGAAATAAACCTCCAGTTCTTCCCAATTCATCAAAATGTTAAACATAACCTTCCCACGCACAAACCATCGAGTAGATGAAGGTTTTTCAAAGGGAATTGGAGCAGTTCGGGTTGACTCAAATTCCATAGGTGTGTTCATAACTCTAAACAATTCTTTGTATGCTTCCCGTCTTAAATCACTATGGCGAAACCATTGAGGTATTTATTTCTGAGAGCGAAAATCCAATATTTGATGGTAGCTTGGCTGCCGAATAATAAATGCAAAGTGCAAGCGAATGAAAAGTATATTTGAGCTGTACACAGTAAGGCGATACATCTTTCAGTCTAGACCAGACAGAGTTCTTGCACCCCACCATATTTGATGCACCAACCGATGCAAACCCAATGCAATTTGTAAGACTCTGACCACATCTTTTGATTTCTTCGTCAACCAAATTAAATATGTTTCCTCCCGTAGCCTCTTGCACGGGAATTAAACCAAGATATCCAGTGACAATTTCCCTTTTAATACCACTTAAAAAACGAACTACAATGCACAAGTGTTTTTGTGTGGAAACGTCAGTAGATTCATCTATAATGAGGGCATATTTTTTATTCCGAAAGCCATCAATGAGATCAGATTTCGGCGCAGGCGATATGACAGTTTTAATTAGGCATGAACACTTAGATCTGCGCAATTTTATGTGCCCCAACGTGGCAACTGGCAAGTAGCAACTGCCAAGTAGCAACTGCCAACTATCTTTGTAGTGTTGCCATTTTAGAGTAAAAGTATTTTAAGAGAGATTTGTAAATAATTTTCGAGCAACTAAGTAGAAGAAGCCAAAGAAACGCCAAGCAAGCCAAATGAATTATCGTAAGCCAACCAAGTCGGAAAAACGACAGATTTCTCGAATCTGGTGTCAAAAAGCCTAATTTGCAACCCTGACTATCTGTCCGGCGACCAAGTTACATGACCGCCGGAAGAATACTTAATCTAGATATTCGTCCGGCGACCAAGTCACATGACCGCCGTAACAAAGTGGCGCGAGAGATTTGTTCATCCCTTGTCACGTGACCGCGAATGATTAAAAACTATGGTTAGTTTTAAAATCAAATTTTTAAATTTCTGTACCAAGTAGTTTACTAAGTTATCTTGCAAACAAATAATAGAAAAAAATACTTGGGTATATTAGCAAAACAAAGTGGGGGTTAAGCAATAATGCATTCTAGAAGGAGGCAATGCTGAGAGGGAGCAAGAATTACGCTAATGAAAAATAAGAATGCTAAAAAAATAATAGTAATGGTGATAAATAATTACGTTTAATGCGGGGAAGCCGAAAGTTCACAAAGAAATAGACCCTACATCTTAATATAGGGCCGATATAGTGGTAACTACAACTTTATTGACATAGGCGGTCTACTGGTAGGCCTATTATTTTATTTGGTTTATGTTTTAAATTCAGGCTTCAAGCTAGAGCTCTACAAGATGTTTAAGCAAGATAGGGGACTTTTTTCTTTGAAGAGTCGGAATCAACTAGACTAGAAATAGTAGCAGTAATAGTACTACTAGTTAGTTTATAGACCGACGAGTTTAATATTCAAAGTCAAACACTTTATGTGTCTCAGAGCATTTGAATATGCGATAGCACCAAAATTATGGAACAGTTTGCCTCAATCTTTTTTGGGGAATTGAAAATGATAAAAAATCATTTATGAAACATTTAAAAACATTTAAAGACTGTGACTAAGAGGCACACTGAAACAAGATTAGAAATGATGTTAACATTTTAAGGAAAACTTATACTTGTAACACTTACACTGCACACACACACAAAACAGAGCGCAGTGAGCATGCGAAAGTGGCATGGATACCAGCGCGATATAAATATCAAATCAATCAATCAGTTTATTTATTATCTAGGGATCAGCTAATATATGTACACATTATTGGAATATATATGCAATGCAACTAATTTGCCGGCGACCACTTGTTACATGATATGTCTACCCCCGAAAAAATATCTTCCGCTAGTCGTCCGGCGGGGCGGTCACGTGCCCGCCGGAAGAATTTCTCCCACTTTTCGTCCGGCGGTCATGTGACATGCCCGCCGGAGGTATATCTCCAGCACTATTTGTCCGGCGCGCCGGACATGTAGACACTTCCTAGAAACTAATAAATAAATGTTAATATTATATACTGATTACACATGTGACAATGTTAGTTTTATAGGCTAAATGAGATCAATGCACACTATTTAAACATTAACATGGAGAAGAAAAAAAACTCTTATTATAATTAATTATTAATTCTAATTTTTCTAAAAAGAAATTGTATTGAAATTTCTTAGTTTTACAGTTAACAAATTTATAGCAAATTCTATACAATTCAATTTCAATAATATTTTTTTTGCATATTATATTTATATTTTGATAAATATTTTGTCTATTGTAATTGAAGATACACTATTTTTTTAAAAGTAATGCTATTTTACTTGTATTTTTTTCAGGTATACTTTAAAAAGTTATTTAGTTAATTTATATTTATTTTGTAAAGTTAATATAGGTTTATTCAATTGTGTATCTACTCCATCAAATTAAAGTATTGAAATTAATGTATAGGACTACTACTAATTTGAAAAAATGAAGATTTATTCCAGACATGTTCGGCTGCATACTTCTCCGCAAAAGCAAACAGCTAATCCTTTAAAATGGAGTTATGTTCATGGCGCCTCATCTGTTCCTTTATTGGGAATCACAGTTGGAAAGCAACTTCAGAAGACTGCAGAAACAAATCCTAACAGGTCTGCAGTGATATTTGCCAATGAGAAACAGCAACTTACATTTACAGAATTGTTAGCAAAAGTAAGTAAGTTATACAAATTTCTTTTAAAAAATGTTTCTTTTAAAATTAGCCAAATTTGCTTTTATGGGTGGCCCCTAGTTTTAAAGTGATAAGTGTAAAGCCCCTGGCTTTGTCTATTTGTCTGTAATGAGAAAGGAGCTGCAAAGAGAAAACAATTCTACAATTGCATTTAAAATGTTTGTTCTCATTCTTTATATCTTTTTTATTGGGTTTACCTATGCTACTAATAACTCAATTAGGAGATAGCGTCAGTGGGTCATCGAGCGTGTGCTCTTAATACCCCCTCCGGCACAACCCCACACGAGACGACGCCGGGTCTCCCCTTCGCCACACCGTGCGGAGGAGCGCCCGAGACCTCCCCCTCGAGCTTAGGGGCTTGTCTGGTCGACCGTTCACACCCCTTTCAGAGTGTGGACAGTCCACTCTCCTTGGTGGACAGGACGGCTTTGCTTCCTCTCCCGGGGTCGTGTTGCGTTACTTTCCTCCACCGTACAGGGAGTTGTTCGAACCGTCCTGGGAGTGGTTTGGTCGGGACATAAGCTGGGACGAAACGGTCGCCTAGGAGCGACTTTCTCAGGGCCGCGTGTTTTTAATCCTTGGCAAGGGTTTTGCTTCCACCCAGGCCTCATATCCATTATCGGCGACACGTAATCATGTTAGCGCGCAACTTCCGTTGTGTTGGAAGTCATGCGTTTGGCTGGGATCTTTTGGCTTCGGGAGAGCTTTCCTACTAGTCTTCACGCCGCGTAGAGGCAAGATCCGTGTGACACCTCCGAATTTCTTCGGTGGTGTGGGTCGCCGACCTACAGGCGTTTGGTCGGGTCATTCCGTGAAGCCTATGCTACTAATAAGAAATTGTATTCAAATATTCATATAGGTTTAAAACTTTTTAATAAGTAAAAATAAAATATTTATGTAGAGAATAATCTTGAATACTTTGTATTACAGACACAATGTTTTTAATTTTTAAAAAATTATTTAAATCTGTTTGTATTTAAAAAAAAAATAAGGCTGACATGTTTGCAGCTGGTTTAAGAACCTTTGGCTTTAAACATGGAGACAGAGTTGGTATTTGGGGACCTAACTCATTAGAGTGGGTGCTGACTCAGTATGGAACAGCAAGAGGAGGAATAGTCTTGGTGAGCCCTAAATTTTTAGACTTATTTCAGTTTTATAACTTGTATTATGTTATTTTGATTTTATTTCCAATTAAAAACTACAAATTTAACAGACATTATTTTTCTACGGCTTTTCTTAAAGATTTGTAAACAAAGTCTATGCATTTGTAATATACTTTCCTGTATCATTGTTTAAAGGAAGGCTAAGATATATCTTCTTATCTATAAAATTTAATATTAATTATTTCAGGTGAACATAAATCCATCTTACAGAAAAAATGAATTGAAATATGCTCTGAATAAGGTAATGATTTTGTTGCTTACCGGTATTGGAATTTTCATAAGGGATCAGTGGCAAATCTAGGGGATGGCAAAGGAGGAGACATTTTTTTACAAGCAAAGTTGCTGACATTTACGCTGAGCTTGATGGTCTTGACATAGTGCCCCTAGATTTGCCTAATTTTTCTTGTATTAGTTCACATTTCAATGTTTTAAACTGGTTTTAGAACAAGAGGTCAAAAGTATTATTCTGAAATCTAAACCTACATCATGTTCTTTGGACCCCATCCCCACCCCTTGTTGGTTGAGACGTTAGAACATTTGCTCCTAACAATAACCCACATAGTCAATGAGAGCTTGTCTTCTGGCACTTTTCCCCCTATTTGTAAGTCAGCTGTCATCAACCCATTGCTTAAGAAGCCTGGTCTGGATGAAAATAATTTAAAAAAAAAATTATAGAGGAGTATCTAACTTATCATTTTTTTTTTCTGAAGTCATTGAAAAACTAGTTCTTAAACAACTTTTTGATTTCCTACTTAAATGACCACTCAGTTCTCAGTCCTAATCAGTCGGCCTTTAGACCTTTCCATAGAGACAACTCTCTTGAGAGTCACAAATGACCTCTTGCTGGCAATGGACAGTGGTAATGGCTCCATCTTGATCCTTTTAGATCTCAGTACGGCCTTTGACACTGTTGACCATAAAACCCTCTACAGAACGCTTGAAAATTACTTTGGAATTTCTGGTTCAGTTTTGACTTCGTTTAGTTCCTACCTCTCTGATAGAACGCAGGTCGATGTCTGTCTCTCCGGCAGTGCTGACTTGGTGTACTGAGTGCCACAGGGGTCCGCTTTTGGCCCGGTTCTATTTGCAGTGTATAACAGGACACTGCTTCTCTTGCTCGGGAGGCATGCTATTGAGAGCCAGTCATTGGCAGATGGCACGCAGCTGTACAAGCAAACCCATCCCTCTCTTGTTGATTCTGCTGTCCAGACTTTGCGGAAGAGCATTGGTGATGTCAAGACATGGATGACACTCAGCAAGTTGAAGCTTAACGATGAAAAAACGGAAGCACTCCTTATTCACAATCACAAATCATCCTCTAACTCAGCTCTCCCCACCTCATTTCAAGTAGGTAACTCCAACATACAGTTTACATCCTCCACTAGGAATCTTGGTTATATTCTGTCTAACAACATGTCTCTCAATAATCATATCTCTCACATTTGTCGCTCTGCATACATTGCTATCAGATCAGTTCCATCGGCCATTACCTCACAGTTAGCGAAACAAAAACCGTAGTCTATACTCTTGTTCTTTCATGTGTTGACTATTACAATTCTCCTCTGTCAGGTTCACCAAAACACTTCATAGAAAAATTACAAAATGTTCAAAACTCAGCTGCTAGGCTTGTTCTAAAAGCAAAAAAAAAAAAGTTTTCATGTCACACAACTACTTCATTGGCTCCCTGTACAAGCACGGATTGACTAACAAACTCTCTGTTCTTTTTTTATTTTTTTCTCAAATTCCTGCCCTTCCTATCCCACCGAACTTCTCTCTGTCTATTCGCCCCCTTCGACAGCTTCTCTCCTTCGCAGACACGAGTATTCTTTCTGTTCCCAAGTCACGCACAAAAATATACGGTGAAAGAACTTTCTCTTTCTGTGCCCCCAAACAATGGAATTCTCGTCCACTACACATCCGCAATATACCTACAACCCAGGCCTTCAAAACTGCACTCAAAACACATCTCTTTAAACTCTACTACTCCTCTAACAAATAAACATTCTGCTGACTTGGTGTACGGAGTGCCACAGGGGTCCGCTTTTGGCCCGGTTCTGTTCGCAATGTATAACAGGACACTGGCTTGACATGTAAATAGTTCTGGGAATGGGTGGAGTGAATAAACATTTGTTTTGTTTTTATACACTCGTTTTTTATTTCATTAATGAATGTTAATTTTTAAGTTCATGATTATGTTTGTTAAATTGTTTGTGCAGCGCGGTGAGCCCAGCCCTTGGCTGGGGTACAGCGCTATATAAAACCACTAATAATAAAAATAATAAAACATTAGGTAGTTATTTATTGCGTTGTATAAATGATGGGTGTCTGTTTATTAGAGGGTAGCTTCTTTAGCAGTTGGACCCGTTCAGCACGTAGTCAAGGTTTCGGTACTCTGTGTTTGCTAAGGAATGCTTTACTTTTTTTTTTATTGGGTCAAAAAGTGTTGTTTATTAGACATACTAATTTAAAATTATTTCAAATTTGACAAGTTTCTTTATTTTTAGAACAGTTTTCATATTATATAATGGTTTCCAACATGGAGAGCTTCTGACACATACTTTATAGCATTCATTTCTATTTCTTTGTTGTTTCTGCTGTTGAAGGCGTCTAGTCGAAACGTTAATTTTATTGTCCATTTTTTTAAAAATAGTAAATGAGTGGATAATCAACATTTTATTTTTGTTTAGTTACTTGACTAACTGAATTTTTACTTTTTGTGTAAGTTTTAATATCTGTTGAGCATCGAACAAATTGCACATAATTTTTTATCATCCCCATGTCTTAAATTTTACACGTTTTCAAAAAGTTCCAAATCATAAAACGTTGTTATTGATCATTGTATTACTATTTAAGTGGTTCTCCTCACAGAATGAAAATTTATTACGGAAGAAGATTGCCAAGCATGGGCGCCCGCAGAAAAATTTCTAGGGGGAGGGGGGGGGCAAAAAAATCGATTAACTTTCTAGGTGGGGCAAAAAATCGATTGACTTTCTAGGGGGGGGGGGGCAAAAATTGTGTAGTAATGTTTTAATGTAGTTTTAATTTACTGTAGCGTATTTTTATGGTGAACGAACGGACATCAGCTTAGTTACTTTCTCTCTTTTTTCTCTTTACTTTAATACATTTTTGTCTATTTTTGTCTAAAAAGATTTATCTAATAAGGGGGGGGGAAGTGCCCCCCCTTGCCCCCCCCTGCGGGCGCCCATGTTGCCAAGTGCTGTTCTTTAGGATTTAATCCTTATTATACCCCCTCTCCTTTTCATCACTTAGCTCATATGGTGCTTACATTTTTGTACCACATTACTAAATTACACTGGTGTCGAAATTTGGTAACCCACAACTACAATCTTTTTTTTCTAATTTTTATACTCAGGTTGGCTGTAAAGGTCTTGTGGCTGCCCCTAGTTACAAAAACATTGACTACATTTCTATGTTGAGAGACCTGATGCCAGAAATGGATAATACCTTAGAAGGCTCACCTCTTAATGCCAAGGAGTAAGTTGACTGTTAAATCGATACATAAAGAATACATTACATAATTAATTCTGAATTATGCAACTTGAATTTGAAAGTATAGTTTTGAAAACATTACAATAAAGTTCTACCATATTTTTTAACTAAGTTTTCAATGAATGAAGGACACATTTCTAAATTATAATTGTATTTTTTTTTTATCCAATAGTAAACTGTATTATATTAAAGTTATTTTTTTTTAAACTTAACTTTATGATGAAAAATAAAATATTATTTTTTTAATGTTGCATTAGCTGAAATAAAGTAAACAATTTCCTGGACTTTACTTGAACAATAATCAAGGATATTTTTATTAACTGCAGGGTGAGATCACTTAGAAACATTATTATAGGTCATTACACTAAAAAATTGTTTTTACGTGAATGTCATGGTTAACATTTGGTAGTAGCCAAATAGTTTGTTTGTTGTTGTTGTTTTTGTTTTTTTTGTTTTTTTTAATACTCTGACGTAAATAGTTACAATGATATTTAAGCATTCCTTGTATGTTAATAGTTACAATGATATTTAAGCATTCCTTGTATGTAAATAGTTACAATGATATTTAAGCATTCCTTGTATGTAAATAGTTACAATGATATTTAAGCATTCCTTGTATGTAAATAGTTACAATGATATTTAAGCATTCCTTGTATGTAAATAGTTACAATGATATTTAAGCATTCCTTGTATGTAAATAGTTACAATGATATTTAAGCATTCCTTGTATGTAAATAGTTACAATGATATTTAAGCATTCCTTGTATGTAAATAGTTACAATGGTATTTAAGCATTCCTTGTATGTAAATAGTTACAAGTGTATTCAAGCATTCTTTGTTTCCTTTTTCTGTTCAGTTAAATTTAAAAAAAATAAAGGTTATTCAGATTGTGTGTTTATTTCTGCACATTTCTAAATGCTGAGATATCAATACGTTGTATATATATGATGCTTTTAATTTATTGATTTATTTTTTTCTTTAGTATCCCTGATTTAAAATATGTTTTTTCAATGGGGGCCACTAAATACCCTGGTACTATCCGCGTGGATGACTTGCTGAGCATGGCTAGCCTCTCAGAGATACGGGAGATAAATGATATTCAAGACACATTTCAGTTTGATGATGCTATCAACATTCAGTTTACATCAGTAAGTTTCATTTCAGGCATGGTGCATTCTAAGCTCTGTTAATTGATTCAGGTTGTCTAATGATCATGTGTTTCAATCACAGCATTTATGTGAACCCAAAAATTTCCAGCCAATTTTCAGCTAAAACGGGGGTGGGTGGCCAACTTTTGGCACAGCACATTAAATATTGTGGACAACTGGATTTATCACTAGTGAATTTCCATCTTCATTCAAATAGGACTTATTTTTCATTTTTGGTATAATAAATCATTTGAAATTATTAATTATTTATATATAATGTACAGCTTGTCAAGTATGGGAGTTCATTGATAATTGTTGTGACTAAATATTATGTTGATTACTAAATATTATGTTGATTAGTTATTGAACGCCCTTCCCGCGCTTGACGCTTTTAGTTATTGAACGCCCTTCCGCGCTTGACTGACGTAAGTTTTAGTCGTGTGGCAGTCATAGGCGCCCGCAGGTAGGGGCAAGGTGGGGCACTTCCCCCCCCCCCCCTGGATTGATTGGATAATTTTTTATTTTTTTAAAATTTATTAAAGTAAAGAGAAAATAAAGAGAAAGTAACTAAGCTGATGTCCTGTCCGTTCGTTCACCATACAAATACGCTACAGTCAATTAAAACTACATTAAAACATTACTAAAAA